GCATGAGGACGGATCGGACTTGACCCAGGCACGTTGGAAGACGATGCGAGAGGCCGGAATGCCCGTCGAGGATATTGCGCGGGAGGAGGTGGGCATGGGCATCGGGCTTCTCTCTAACACGGTCCCCGCCGCCTTCTGGGTGCTGTATGAGCTGTATTCCCGACCCGACCTGCTGGAGGAAATCCGGGAGGAGATTCGCACGAATGCGCTCCGCGTCGACGCCGACCAGCGACACATCGTCGATATCTCGGCTCTACGCGACAACTGCCCGCTCGTGGTCTCGAGCTTCCAGGAAATCCTACGCGTGCAGTCTGCATCCGCCCCGACCCGATTTGTCATGGAGGACGTGATGCTGGCGGATCAATATTTCCTCAAAGCGGGCAGCATGATCAACATGCCGGCCAAGACGTTGGGTCGCATGCCCGAGGCATGGGGAGAGACGGCGCTGGAGTTCGATGCGCGGCGGTACATCCGGTCGGAGGAGAAGAACCCGCGGCGCACGGCAGGCTTTATGACATTTGGAGTGTCCCCCGTCATTTGTCCCGGACGACACTTTGCCAGCTCGGAGATTCTCGGATTAGCCGCTCTGTTAGTGCTCCGATATGATATAGCGCCGGTGGATGGGCAGTGGCGCACGCCGCGGTTGAACTCGATGGCGGTCGCGTCGAACATGCGACCGCTCAAGGATAAGTTTCCAGTGACGGTGCGTCCCCGTAGCGAATACGCGGGAGTGGAATGGGACTGTACGGTGCAGCCCGGTAGTGGAGTGTTTAACTTGATGGTGGGATAGGAGTAGTAGCTTATATGATGTAGAATGGGATGAGTAACTGCCCATAAAAGTCTGCCATGGACCACGTGGCTGGTTATACCTTATTTATGTTTTTCCAAGAGAAAAAGTTCCGGTCGCTGCTGCAGTCCAAAGTGAAAGGAAGGTGATTGAGCACGTGGCCTGTGTAACCCCGAGACATGCCCCGAATTGGGGTGCATCTGCATCGACCCATTTCATTGATTCTGATCGAGTCCAATCCGACCAAGAATACTACTGATCGCTATTACTACGTTGAGTCACCTCTGGTAGTACCACTTATTTTCATGATGAAGCAACCATGCATCGATTCATCCTAGCAGCAGCTGCGCCAGCTGCAGGATGCGCCAGAAAGGGCGGCACGTGGGCCCAAGCGCCGTCCTGATTAGAAGTTGATTAGAAGCCCCCATTTGAGCCCACGTGCCTGACAGACTGGCAGTTCTATCCCTGCCCCTGATTCCTTGACAAAGTGAATCAGTGAAGTCTCGGTCAATGAAATAAAATGCTGTTGGTCCAATATCCTCTTCTGATATCTGGCATAGGGTGTAAGGGGAAGTGGCAGAAAACTTCGAAGTTACAGCATCCCAACTGTCTGCACTGCGACCGCTTATCGCGAATCAGCAGCGATGGCTCTATCGCGCCACCACCCCCTGTACCATCGAATGAGAAAGCGACCAGACGGCAGATTGGCTCGTTGCTCTGCACGCGCCCGATTGCCCTGCAACGAGCGTCCCTCCGAGCTGCGTATATTCCTCCCTACGGATTCTCCCCCTTACTCCGTACTTGGGGGGGCCAACCGGCGACACCCAGTGAGCCCTGCACGTGGAGCGACGGTGTCAGTCGGGCTGGATCCATGGTGTCCCCACTTCAAGCTTTGAAGCAGAGAAGCTTGGTACCTACTCAGTAGTAGTAATCCTATCTAGGACTAGGTACTCCGTAGGAAGTAAGTAGACAAAGTGGCTCGGGGACACCGAACCACGAGTTCCTATCGTCGTCTGCCGGTGGGTCGTCTGTCTATCTTTCTCTCTGCTTACTGTGTAGCCAATATCATCCTCATGGTTTACGCTACCGGAGATAGGCTGAGAATGTCTGTCAAAGTGTCCCCATGGACCAGTGAGATACGAGGAATCTGGCCCATTCCCTCGTGCGCACGCCGTACTACCTCAGACTTGATCCTCTCCCCACCACTGAGATCCGCTTTGCATTCCACTCTCTTCCTTCAGCCCAGTTCCCTGCCGCGATGCTGGGGCAATTCTCCTCGGACAAGCTTTGCCGGCTGCTGCAGGTCACCGACTCTATAAAGCCTAGCCTCTCCCCCACCCACCGGTCGAGCGTCTTCCTGCTGTTGATTGTTGCCGCTGTTGGTAGGGTATCCCGTGGTCTCGTGCCCTGGCTGGCTAACGTTGCCCCTCCTGCTGCTTCCCCCTTGCTTTATCTTCTTTTTGACATCCTCCACTTCTCCCAGTTAGATCTGTCTATCTGTCAGTTTTCGAGACTGCAATCTAAGTCTACACCATGATGGACCGCAGTGACGAGAAGACCAAGGAGCTGGTGGTGTCGCCGCACGGTGACCCTCACGTCGATGAGGATCCCTTGGCCGACACCGAGAAATCCTTCTGGGAGCGCAGTTGGCCTACCTTTGCCTGTGGTGCTGGTTTGTGGTCGGATGGATACTTGCAATATGTCAGTGACCTCTTCTCTTCTAATTTGTCCCTTGAGGTTCAATCGCACTGACATAGGTTATGGCCGTCAGGTCATCGGTACCGTCAACACCATGCTCGACAAAATTTATCCCAAGATCTACGATGGCTCCACCTACAGTCAGAACGTCTCGTCCATCGCTTTCGCTGGAACTGTTGTTGGCATGCTCTTTTTTGGCTACCTCTCCGACCATTGGTCTCGATCCAACACCCTCATGGTCTCCACTGTCATCCTATTCGTTTTTGGTGCTCTCTGTGCCGGTGCCTATGGCCATAATGGCAGCCTCCCCGGCATGTTCACGGCCCTGACGGTCTATCGCTTCTTCTTGGGTCTGGGTGTCGGAGGTGAATACCCTGCTGGTTCCGTCGCCGCCGCCGAGAGCAGTGGAGAGCTGGCCGAGGGCACCCGGCATCGCTGGTTCATTCTCTTCACTAACTTCCAGCTGGATTTGGCCTCTGTCGCTTCGTCGCTTGTGCCTATGATTGTTGTGCTCGCCACTGGAGAGAATCATCTTCGCGCTGCCTGGCGTATCTGCCTGGGTCTTGGTGTCATTCCTCCGCTCAGTCTAATCTACCTGCGGATGAAGCTGAAGGAGCCCGCCGAGTACACCCGCGAAAAGATGAACAAGTTTCCCGTCTGGCTGATTGTCAAGTAAGCCTGAAACCCCCTCCTGCAGATGGGATCAGGACACAACTAACGTGAATATCAACAGATTCTACTGGAAGCGTTGGGTAAGCCTGCCAGGAACTTTAAGCAAACCTTAACGTTTCGAATGCGCTAACTTGTCCAGTGTGTCGTATCCTTGATCTGGTTCATCTACGACTTCTCCACCTACTCTTTTAGTATCTACTCGTCCGCTTGGTTGGCCGATATCATTGGAGATAGCGCACCCATGTGGCAGACACTCGGCTGGAACACCCTGATCAACGTCTTCTACCTGCCCGGATCTGCTCTGGGCGCATTCCTGAGCGATTGGTACGGTCCGCGCAACACACTAGCATTCGGAGTGTTCGTGCAAGGAGCCATCGGTCTGATCATGACCGGATGCTACCCTTACCTGGATACCCCTCACTACGTGGCGGCCTTTGTCGTTGTCTACGGGTGAGTTCATTCCCGATCCCCATTTGTCCCACTTCGCACTAATCACTCGGGATGACAGTATCTTCCTCGCCATGGGCGAAGTCGGCCCCGGCGACAACATCGGTCTCTGTGCAGCCAAGACCTGCGCGACACCCATTCGCGGTCAGTACTACGGCACCGCAGCCGCCATGGGCAAAATTGGCGCGTTCGTGGGCACCTACGTCTTTCCGGTGATTGTCAAGAACGCCCCGAACAAGATCCGCCAGGGCCAGGATCCGTTCTACGTGTCTAGTGCCCTGTGTATCTTTAGTGCGTTTTTGGCGTTCTTTTGCTTGCCTCATATTGGTCAGGTAAGTGACCTGTCAACATCTTCTGATTGACTGTATGTGGCAGTGACTAATTAATGATAGGATACCATCACGCACGAGGATGCTCGCTTCCGCGCTTATCTCGAGTCCCACGGGTACGACACGTCTAGTATGGGCACGGGAGGCGGCGAGAGGCAGAGGACGCAGTGAAGTATGCATTCGATGAGTTGAACGAGCCATGTATCCTATCCTATTTTGATTCGACGAAAAGTGTATTCTTGATCATGAGCATACTACCTTACAGTACATAATTTAATGCCCTTTACGGAGATATAATCTGTACCCTATCGCAATGAACGTACAACCCACTGCATTGAGTAGATATATGCATAACATGGAAACTACATATTAGCAAGTTGGAAATGAATTTGCCAGCCAATGTCACATGTCAGAAGATAAAAGTGACCAGAAACGGTAAGCTGCAATGTTATCATGCATACCGACCCCCGACCCACAACTCCGGCCCATTATCTCTGCGTCAAATAGATAACCCTAGATAACAACCTCCCAAGTGACCATGCTCTTGCAGCCCAGGATTCCACGCTAACCATCCTGCAGGAAGATAGACTTCGGCCGTCCGTTGGATCTCCGGAAATCCGGCAGCCGGAGATACGATAACTTTCGACGTCGACTCTTCATTCTATCAACTCTAGGATAAGGTATGCTACGACGGATTGCATGTGAAAGATCGGATAGTCTCCTCACCGTATCTATATTTTTTTTTTTTTTTTTTTTTTTTTTTTTTTTTTTTTTTTTTTTTTTTTATTTGGGGGGTTTGGAAAAAAAACACAAACACACCCAAAACCCCATTTTTTTTCTTTTTTTTTTTTTTTTTTTTTTTTTTTTTTTTTTTTTTTTTTTTTTTTTTTTTTAGTTGACAGTCGGCGGATTCGCAAGATAAGCTCAATCAAGCTACATACCGATTATCTACTCTTGTTTCTTAGCAGAATGTACAGTAGTGATGGAGCAAGGCAGATAGATGACGGTGGCTGAGTAAGTGAAGCAATACTTATCAAAGAATTCCCACTAAGAAGAATTACTAAAAGCTGCTATTCTGGCCAACGTCCTGGCAACTACTTCAGACGTAGCTGATTCATCCAGTCTTGGAACGAAAGACCAATTCGTCTATGGTGAAAGACAGCCATATTTTGCTCGTATCTGCCCCAAGTGAGCGACATATCTACGACTTCCAGCGAGTTCTTCTTAAACATCGCCTTTCGTATTAAAAAGAATCGCTGGTTAAGCTCGTCGCGGATGAACTCCAAAAGACGCCACCAATGGCGCTTGGTCTCCTCCTCCATGTCTTGAGGCAGAGAATCGGACGGATGATCAGGCTCAGCCAGGCTGATTGCCTTCAGAGTAAGGATTTGCAAAGTGGGTGATACTGCACGAAGGAATTGTTTTAGGCTGTCGATCGGGAGTTCAATGAACCGCAGACGCACAACTCGCAGGCGCTGAAACGGTAGTCCTTGAAAAAGCCCAGGAACACGGCGAGGTTCCCGGCAGATTGACGAATTGTAGGGTCCGATTTGGTAGCGTAGTGTTTCGAGACTTGGGGCAACCGCCGCCAAGAAATCACACTGACGTTGTCGGTGGGAAGAAATGGCTGAGCTCTCATGACACAGGTGTAAACGCGACAATCCCTGTAAGTAGGAAAGAAAAGATGCCCATTCTTCGGGGGTCAAATACAACCTGCCAAGTCCCACCCCATAGCAGTGTGGACCACAGGTCGACAGCCTCTTCACCTTTCGACCACTGGCGATTAGAGCCTTTGCAAGAAGAGTGAAAGCCAGATCATGTTCCCTGGCGACCCGTTTGTGCGAGAAGCGCTCCCTCTTGAAGTCGGGATGAAAACCCAACTGTGCTCTGAGTCTACGCCAGCCTAGACAGATGATGTCACCAGTCGTTTTGGCAGGGCAATATTCTAAGCTGACGGAAGATAAGTTGACAAACCGCCTGATACATTCTTGGAGAAGGATGATGGAAGTCGGCGAGGTCAGCGCATGTTGATGGTCCGCCATGGCAGCCTTGTAGCCGGCATAATATGCCTTGCCATCGACTTGTTCAGAGTCCTGCTCCTTCCGGGATCTCCACAAAGCCCCTTGGATACAATCCCACCGCCGAAAATCCGAGTAGGGGGCGTTATAGTGACCATTAAACAGCTCCGGGACAACCATAAGGATTTGTACATGTTCGCAGATGCCCTCCTGCATGGAAAGCTCTGAGAGCCGTTGTAGTCCGTCGGTGGTGAGCAGGACACTAATTCTGCGGAAAGCGCGACGTCGAAAGGCATCGGCCGTGGTAATGAAGAGCGACCGACAGGTCAGTCGAAGCGCGTATAAGGCGGCCATTCTCCGGTGTGTGCAGATGTTGCTCACCAACTAAACGGGGAAAGACGTGATGGGCATTTTTGGGGGAAGTTAGTCGAGTGGATGGACCGAATGTTGGGTGAGATGGCTTTGGCTTTTTCGGGGAACCAGTCTGCAAGTCGTTTATCCGTAGGCTGTGGGATAATAGCTACTTACTGGACCATCTTGAGGAGTCAAAACACGGAAACACGGGCAATGAGCATTTTAAAGAAAAAGGACAGCTCTGAGGATTGGCCACCTCATATTCAATATCTGGAGTGGTCCTATCTAAGTGAATTTTAGTTGCTGTACTGGAGAATTCACGCCTCAACGAACTTAGTCAAGACCCTCTGGATTAACCTTGGACGGCGGGCCGGGCCAGGGCCATAGCCAGGGAACCTCCATGGCAAGGAACTTAAAATGAAATCCTATAACATGAATAATGAAAAACAGATTTAGAGCATAATGTCGATCCGGGGCCACGGAAGGAATTCGTCAGAAGGATGAAGAAGAAGAAGAGGAACAGTTGGGGCAGTGGATCCCTTGCCGATCGATCCCTTTTCCCGGGCGGTGGGTGATCCGTGCGCTGGGCGAGTCAGTCATCATCCATTCCATCTCTCTCCTCCCCGCCAGACTGAAGCTATTCCGACAGGGATAATATTCCTCTTTCCCTTCAATACCGAATAAACCAGCCACGCTTCTTCATACAGATATAGTCATGGCATCTACCACCTCCCCCCTCCCCCTCCGCCTCGAACCCGCCACTCTCGAGGACCTCCCCGCCCTCACCGACCTCTGGTACAATGCCTTCACCACCGAATCCATGCTGACCATCTGGCCCGACACCCCGGGCGTCCGACAATGGTGGCACGAAGCCAACGAGCACGACATGCGACACAAACCCGCAGAGAAATTCCTCAAGGTCGTCGACACCTCCCAGCATAACCGCATCGTCGCCTACGCCAAATGGTCTCTGCAGACGGCGGAAGAGCGTGGTGCTCGCTGGCCGGCCTGGCATCCGGATATGGATCCGGTGCATAATGATGCCTTTGTCAAGCAGCTGGAGGCCTTCCGGGCTGCGTTGGTGGGTGGGGGGAGACCGAATTATTGTATGTTCATGTTCATGTTCTCCTCTACATAGCTTTGGGGAAGGGTTGGTGAGGGGTGGGATTGCTAATGGATGTGGTAGATCTCGATATGCTCGCGACTCACACTGATTACCGACGGATGGGTGCCGCTCGTCTGCTTCTGGAATGGGGTTGTCGCGCTGCGGACCAGGCAGGCGTGCCGGTTTATATTGATGCCAGTAAGGCTGGCAAGCCCGTCTATGAACGGTTTGGCTTCGAGGATCGTAGCCATGTCTTTGGGGATACGGGTGCTTTGGCGCCTATGGTGCGGGACCCACTGAAGAAGGATGCTTGAGGTCAATAGTGCAGAGGACGTGGTAGAGGAGTATATACATTTCTGGTTTGAACACGGAAGAAGGATATATTTATAGTATAGAACCAAGGCCCGCCAACGAAACTGGTGGCCAAACCCCTACCCAATCGATACAATAGATCAAGTACTTCAACCACGCTAATAACAAGAACCTAAAGTGTCCACAACGAGCTCTATGTAAATAATCACTGACCATCCTCATCTATATCTTGGCAGGTCTCCGGACCAGCGCATTCGTCAAGGTCAAGAGACTGTCTCGCTCCTGCGCCGTAAACTCCCGACGTCCAGGACCACCCCGACTGCCATCACCGCCACCGCGAGCACTGGCGCCCGTGAACAGGTCATCTTGCGCCCGCGAGCGGTAGTCGGTGTGGAACTTCCACCGTTCCGCCAGGTCGGCGGGCAGTTGGCCCAGGAAGGCCTTGGCAATGTATTCGCCGATCACCGGAAGGAATTTGTATGCACTAGTCCCTCGTTAGTATGATAGTTGACACCGATAGCTTTTGTGGGGAATACTCACTGTCCAGTACCGCCGGTCGCAACAAACACGTTTTGGTGTTCGGGATGGCGGTCAAAGATGAAATCGCCCGTCGGGGTCTCGTTGTACCAGCAGAGACACGTCTTCTCAAAACCTCGCGACACCAACTCGGGTAGAATCTCACCCAGTCCAGCCAGCAGTCGTTGACGGCCTTCCTCCGGAATGAAGTTGGCACGCTGTGAGATGGCCTCGCTGGGTGGTGAGGAAACGTTGGACGAGGACAAGGTGTAGCCGAAACTGTGACAAGCCACCTTCAAGTATCCGGTCTGCTCATGAGGCGGGAAGCTGAAGAATCCCGTAGACAGATTGAAGATGATGGGGAGGTCCTTCAGACGCTTCACCTCCTCCGGGGTAAGCCGCACGAACCCGACGATCTGCGCGGTGGCCACCATGGTGTTCCATGAGGGCACCAGACTGGCCGTCCATGCTCCCGTCGCCAGAATGAACTGATCGGCGGTGATGCGCCCGCCATCGATGGTTCGCACGGCGGTCACTCCGCCATCCGACCCTTTCTCCAAGCTCGTTACATGTCCATGGCGACCGGTGACAAAGGAGACGCCCGCGCGGATGCAGCGATCGCGCAGGCCGGTAATGGCGAGGCCCGCATCGGCCCAGCCCGCGGCGTTGTTGTAGAATCCCTCGAAGCCTGCTCCGATGGGAGTGCCCGACACCGTGGGGAAACGATCTCTCAGGGCGGCCGCATTATCAAGGTTGTGCCATTCGCAACCCATATCCGTGAGGATCTTCTTGGTCTTGCGAATGAAGTCGGATCCGCCCGCCGAGACGAGGTCGGCAGGCCCTGACTGCTGCGCCGTCCAGACACAGGGGGTGCGATGGAAGGAGTCCGCATAGTCAGGACTGGTATTCCAAAGCTCGTAGGCATCACGGCCCATCTTCGCATAGACGGGATCGCCATAGTCGAAGCGAATAACGCGCGAGATGTCATTGCTCGATCCATCGGGGACGGGCGGCATGGACCGATCCATCACCGTGATGGAGGTGAAGCCATCTTCGGCCAGGTACAGGGCTGTGGAGAGGCCAAAGACGCCGGCTCCCACGATCACAATGGACTGTGTCTTGTCCATGACTATACTAACAAGAGAATATCCAGGAATCAGAATGTAGTGTCATGGGACTACCTCCCCCCAGGTCAAACCCCAGATTCTTAATGTGTTTGAGAACAGGCATTGGTCGGTTGTTTTGCCCCGGCTGGGAACCGGGAACCGAACCGAGTCCGTCTTGGCTTGCGCCTGCAGCAGTTGGATTCCTTCTCATTTGGGTGAAGAAATCCGTGGATGTGGGGGGAATTAGCTTGAAGCGATGAATGGTAATGGAGAGACTAACCGTGGACCGGTTCCGTAGTGGAGAACTGATCATGCAGTCCAAGTGGACAAACTGCACTGGTGAACTGGCAGCTCCTCGGCCGGCTTGACAGCTCAAGCTTTCCCTAGACCGGAAAACATTCAGTCGACAAGATTAAGGTGGGCTAATAATAATCTTGCTGTAGGGAAGATTTGGGGCTTGACTTCCCAATTGGGCTATGCATGTAAGGGGGGGGGGGGCTCTGTTTGTGCCCTCCATCACGGAGGATGAGTTTCATCTGTCCGGGTCAAAGCTCTCTTATCGCTCCGTATCTGATTGCCAGCCGGCGGATCGGCCAAAGGTCCCTTCTACCGGCCGTGTCTATCTCCAGAGAACATGCCTCTGTATCAGCACCATGATAGCGTCGTGAGCTGGGATAGGGCTGGATGCTAATCCCATGCATTGACCAGACGAGGAACCACGGCTGCCATCGCCGCCACGAGGCGTTCCGGTGCCAGAGAATCCAGGCTCCGTCCCCGACCTCCTGATCGCTTTGGAGCCGGTGGACGGCTATGGAGCCGCTGTCAGGCCAGGGAAGAAGAGGATGGGCTGGAATGAAGCAAGAAAATAGAGATAAACCAGATATCCAACTGGCTATAAAGACAGTATCTCATCTCGTCTTCAAGTCTGGTAGAACAACAACAACGACCAAGATCCATCTCCACTCAAGAGCCTCTTTCCAGACTCTCACAAAAAGCCTTCATAAAACCAACATTCTATACTTCACATCTGGTCTATACCATGGCCTCCGCATTGTGGAACTACCTGGGTCTCCGCGAGACCCCCACTACCCCTACCAATGAGGCCGTGCGAGCCCTACCGGCTTCGTGGTACACCTCGCAGGAGATGTTCGAGCTGGAGCGACGCGCCATCTTCTCCCGCAAATGGCTGCTGACCACTCACAAGCTGCGTCTCCCCAACACTGGAGACTGGCTGCAGTACGAGGTGTCCGGCTTCAACTTTGTCCTGGTGCGCGACAAGGAGGGCAACATCAATGCCTTCCACAACGTCTGCCGCCACCGCGCCTTCCCTCTGGTGACCGAGGAGAAGGGTTCCGCCCGCATCTTCGCCTGCAAGTACCATGGCTGGTCCTACGGCCTCAATGGCAAGCTGGCCAAGGCCCCCGGCTACCAGGACCTCGATGGCTTCGACAAGAGCAAGAACAGCCTCCTCCCCATCCACGTGCACCTCGACGCCAACGGCTTCATCTGGGTCAACCTGGATGCCGGTGAGCAGCCCGAGATCTCGTGGGACGATGACTTCAAGGGCATCGATCTACAGTCCCGCTTTGCCGATGTCAAGTGGGAGGACTACACCTTTGACCACACCTGGGAGCAGGACGGCGACTACAACTGGAAGATCCTGGCCGACAACTACAACGAATGCTACCACTGCGCGACTACGCACCCCGACATCCCCGCCCTGGCCGACTTGGCCACCTACTCGGTCGACACCAAGGATGGCGGCATCATCCACGACGCCCACTCCAAGCCCGACCAGATCGCGGCCGGGCTCCGCATCGCTAGCACATACTACTTCCCCAATGCCTCCATGACCGTCTCGTAAGTGTGCCTCTGTCTAATTAGCCCCCACCAGTTCCCATCCCTAACGCTTTATCTGCAGGCCACACTTTTTCTTCATGCAGCGCTTCGTCCCGATCTCCCCCACCCGGTCGGTGATGAAGTACGAGGTGTATCGCAACAAGAACTCGAGCGACGAGGACTTTGAGCTGATCAACACCATGTACAAGCGCATCATGTCCGAGGACAAGTACCTCTGCGATTTGACCCAGAAGAACCTGAATGCCGGAGTGTTTGTGAACGGCGAGCTGCACCCGAAGATGGAGAAGGGCCCATTGTATTTCCAGAAGGTGGTGCGCGACGTGGTGACGGAGCACTTCCAGCGCGAGGAGAAGGAGGGACAGGAGTACTGGCCCGCCCGTCAGCGGGTGCCCAAGGAGGCGGCGACGAGTGCGCAGGACATGCAGTTCTGCGCCAACCTGGGGTGTGGGGCCGGTAAGGAATGCTGCTCGAATATCGGAGCGCAGCCACCGGCGGCGGTCGCCTGGTGAGGGGAAAATGTTTATGAAGGGGATCGGCAATTGGGACAGAAGAGAGAGTTGTGCTATGATTCATCTTGACGAGTTTGACACATTGTTTTCGGCAAATCAGGTTAGCGATCTTTGTTTGGATTTGAGATATTGTACCGAATTAGAATAGTTTCTTATTATAACATGCTTCCCATCTTTAATGACGTTCAAGTGAATCATGGTGCATTTATTTCTGTCGCGTATTGCGACTAGATAAGTAAAATGGGGTTATCAAGAAGGCGAAGAGCGGGATGGAATAGAAGGGGGGAGATAGATAGTGGAAGAGAGGAGCAGGATGGCCAAGACGGGAAAAGCAGCCAGAAGAGGAAAGGGAACTAGACTAGACCACGTGCGCTCACCTGACCGATGGGAAAATCACCGGACTTTTCTTTCTTTCTCTTAAGACCATCCAGGATACAACCAAGTACTGGGACAAAGAAAAGTTTAAGTTTCTTGATGATGTTAGTCAGATTGTCCAGTCCCAGTCCTTTTTTTATTTTTGCTTCCCACGCCTGGTCTGGAATGTTCAAACCTTCAATCCCCTGCAAGTTAGCCAGACGCACCAAAACTTGGACAGGGTGACGGGTCATGGCGGGGATTCCCAGGGATTCCCAAAGGACTGACGGGGGCCCAGCTGACCACTGGCCCTGGAGAGAAAGTGTATTGGGTGAAATTATGCGAGGGTGGCCATGAGTTCGGAGCTGCTACTACTGTAGTACTATGAATAGCCCTCCCATACGTGAATAGTAGACCAGACTCGGCTTATCTCTCCCATCGACACACACACCGGGAGATACGTTGACTGTCAACGTTGTCTGGCTAGGACCCTCCGGGGAGAGCGGCAGATCCACCTTTTGGCGCTGCTGGTCCCTCCCTCCATCCATCCAGGAATAGCCGATAGTAATCTGGTAACCACTAAATACCACTACTAGATAGCAGATAACCCTCAGTTCCCCCAAACTTCTAGTATGTACCAAGCAGTGACAGTTCCCAGGTTCCACTGCCAACCCAATCTAGTACTTACATACTAGTACATACCCTCTTTTTTTTTCCCCTCCCCTCCTTGCACCCTGCATATATTCGTATTATTATTGGTTGTTGCTTATCCCCCTCCAAACCCTCCGCGTACTCGGAAGTACTACTGATAGTAAGTAGTAGTGGACACCCTAGTAGTATTAGTGGTGGTAGTGGTAGTAGTAGTATATGTCCGCGCGCCAACTCTCGTCCCTCGTCCCTTCCTTTTTCTAAACCGAATCCCCTCCTCCGTTTCCCCTCCTTCTTCCTCCCCTCTTTTGTTCCCGCGGGCATCGCGTCCCGTACTCATTCCCCTCCTCTCCCAGCAGCTCTTTCATCATCACCTCTTTGAGTCATCCTGGGAAAAATAACATGACGCCACCAGAAGGACAGCGTCGGAGATTACGGTCAAATCATGCTTGTTTAAATTGCAGGTGCGAAGAGTCCAAAGAGTCTCCTATCTATTGTGCCGAGAAAAAGCCACTCACCAGCATTGACAGAAGGAAGAAAACGCGCTGTCCGGGCGAGAAACCGGCCTGCTCATGCTGTGTGCGGCTTAACCAGCCGTGCTCGTATACGCCCGTCACGAGGACGTCAATAGGCAGTCCTTCCGTGGGTGCACCCAACTTCCTCTGGACTTACGCGGTTGCTGATGCTCCCCCTCAGAAAGATCGGCTGGCAGAGCTGGAAGAAAAGGTCAATCTCATTCTAAACGGCAATATGTAGGTCTCTCTCTCTCCCTCTCTCTCTCTCTCTCTCTCTCTCTCTCCTCGCGAGATTGTCCGCAGTACAATTAAGCTCACAGATTCTCGCAGACTAGCTCGATCGACAGGTCCCGAGACGAAGTTATCGCCACCATCCCCGAGACGCCGCGATTCTCACACCCCTTATCCGGTCCCATCGGGGCTGGGCGAGGGCACTACCCCTCACTCTTCACCCTCGGTCATCGCCAGAGCGATTAATCTCTACGTGGAGCACTGTCACCGGCAGCCGGTGTGGTGTTTCGACTTCGATGGGCCAGGCGAGCCCGGCTCTCTCCCGGAGGAGCTGATTTGTAGTCTGTTGGCACTCACCTTGCGCTATTTACATGAGCAGGAGCAGGGCCAGCATTATGCCGACGATGCTAGAACTCTCATCATGCTGCGCATTGCCAATGGGACAGTGGAACTGGCCACGATCGAAAGTTTGTGTCTGCTGTCCTATTCTTCTTTCATCGGTACGTCTACCCCCGGAATGGCCAAGCAGTGTGGGGAAGTAATAATAACTGAATTGTATGTCCCGTTGTCGCAGATGGTAATACACACCTCGGACAGTTCTACCTAGGCCTGGCGTCCCAGCTGTGTCGCGCGGCCATGCTAGATGTTGCGGTCGCCTATTCCACCGATGATCCACACATGGAGAGAAAGAAGCGCCTGTTCTGGAGTCTACAGTTGCTCGAGCAATCGTATGGCCGACAGACGGGCATCTTACGCACATCGACCGAGATCTGGCGCCCACCATATTTCGCGACGGATGGCGACCAGGACAGCCACAAGGCGACGGGGCCTCCGCCACCACCCATGCCACAGGACAGCGTGGGATGCACGAACCCCCACGATACAGGAATCTGGAACATGAGCAATCAATTTGGCTGGGTCTGGAGTAATGTCAGGGGCTATGTATCGGACTGTGCGCGCAGCAAAATGAAGGAGCCCTGGCGGCATGAGTCAATGTACTCGATGATACTGTCCGACCTCACGGAGGTCGAGAACCGGACGCCCTTCTGCCATCGCTATGATCACGTTCAGTTCTACGAGCGTACTGGTGAGGAGCTGTCCTATGAATTAGCCTACTGGGTACCCTGGTTGAAGTTGCAGTTCATGTACCATGCCATCCTCACCGTCCTGAATCACCCGTTTCTGTACATTATGGCCTCACGCCAGAATCCCAACCTGGCCATCCCGAACAGCTTCTGGAGACGTTCCTCGGAGCTGGTGGTGCTGCACGCCACCTGGATTGTGCGCTTGATCGACATGGTGGTGGAGAAGGAAGTACGCCTGTCCGACCCCTTTTTCGCCCATGTCGCCGCCATTGCCGCCACGGTGCAGCTATACTATTGCTGTGCCGGGGATCCCCGTCTGAAGTACAAGTCGCGGGTGGACTATGCCAAGTGCCGCGAGTTCCTGAGGACCTTTGCCACTACATCGCGGGCCTGCGAGGGCCTGGTAGGTGATCATCCCCCCTACCTACAGAATGAGCAGCTGACTCCCTTTCTCCGTAGCATCGCATCCTGGACCAGATGATGCGTATTGCATCCGGCTCGGAGAATGTCGACTATGAGACCTGGCTCCCGTCCAAGATCTACTTGAGTATCCCACTCATGTGGGACATCCTACAGTTTAACGTCACGGATCGGTCGGCGGGCGGGAGGGCAGACGGCCGCCTGCTGCATTCCTCATTGGCAGCATCGGCGGTCGGGCAAGGCTCCGAAGAGGACTCGACGCTCGAGGTGATTGTCACAACCTCGCCGGAGGTGACGGTCAACACCGCCGACGGGGGCCAGGCGGTGCCCCTGCCTCTGTATCGGACGCCAGCGACCTCCAAAGCTAACGCAGCAGCTACTTCCATAATGCGTGACACCCTCGTTGCGCCGATTGACAGTCTAATGGTCAATACTCCATGGCTCTGGGCCGACTCGGCTCCACTGGGCGACATGGAGAGCTCCCTGGGATATGCCAACTCCGGTCCGGGCGGCGGAGATGCGGAATTTTCGTCATGGTGGAATTTGGGAAACCTGTGAACCGATCCAAACCTGCGTGAATATCTAATACCAAGAATAGTCTTGATTGCCCTTTTGATTCGATGGAGATAGTATGGCCACCTACCCACTCACACACAACCTGAGCGGAGACGTCGAAACCCGGCAATCGAGAGGAGAGAGACAAACACAAGAGTGAAAGAGAGACAGACAGGGAAGAGGAGTCCCGACCAACCCCGCACGCACAAAAGAAACCATCCTCATCTCCGTCCTCCTCCTCTCCTCTTTCACCTCGCCCTTCCCCCCTTGGCTGCTCGCCTCGCCTTTCAGTCCGCGGTCAACCTGGCAGTCCCTATGCGAGTTCTCCCTCTATCTCGAGTCTCTTTGCCCCCTCCCATGAGCGAAACTCTCCAACCAAGAGACCATACGCGCCACCCGTTCTCCGACCGATAGAAGCGAGGGGCATTGCCAATCCGACGAAGGCCAAAGCTCCTCCGTAAGACACGCTAGGACCCGCCACTGTCCAGTACCGCCTTGCCTGTTTTGGACATCTTTTCCCAGGGATCCATCTTTTTTCCCCCTCGCGACCTTGCCTTCCCTGGATAAGATGCGATACGATACGTCTGCCCCCCATCGGCCCGCCAACTGCTTTCCCCCTCCTTCTTTTAGCGTCATGCCCTTTGTTTGTTGTTGGGATGGCAGTAGCTACACACTTCCCGACGCAAGTCATCTCACACAAACACGGTGTCGGCTTCGCTCGTTCTTCGGCTTGATGTCGATCCCAACCCGGACGTCTCGGAACGCCGTGGATATTTCATCTCTTGGACTGATAGAGCGCAAGGGAGACGACGGTGGAACCGGTACTGCAGACGCCCAGCAGGGGTTCCCGGTGTGCTATGCTGTCTCTTCATGCTTATCGGCCATCAGTTTCCCGCGCGAAACGCGTCACCCCAAAGCAGGGGGGGGGTTGCACATGGCTAGTACCTCAATTCCCCAATTGCCGAGTTCGGGGAAGGCGGGGGTGAAGAAAAGTAATTTTCCGATGCCGCCGGGCTATGCGACCAGAACCTTCGCTGTATGCTGTAACTCGCCACCTCCAAGTTTACCATGGCGATGCCTTTGATTAGTGTGGATGGCACATTCATGGTCATCCTTCCCTTTTCCGTGTTTCCTCTCTACATCATAATGGATCTCAGCCAATCGAGCTTTCCTGTTCCCGACAGCCTGATGGGGACCTCTGCTACATCAGTAGCAGAGGTTGATATCGGGACACACTAACTCTTTTGCAGATTGCTGGCTCCTCCTGCATAGACCAGTCTCAACAGGATTTGTTGTCTATAGTCTCTAGTATTCCTGTTTTATCTAATGTCTAATATCTACTGATGCTCTTTAACCAGACTACGACTTCTATCCCAACGCACTCTTCAGCCACTCATGGGCCTGGCCATATATGTCCTCGCAAACCCTTTTCCGGTACGCTCTTTCGGCCGCATTCCCCTCCTGGCCGTGCGTGAAGCCATGCGTGCACCCTCGGGCCAAGGTCCACTTATACGCAGACGTCTCGAAGGGCGCTTCCTGGTCCTCTTTATCGTGCAGCCCCGCCAGGCGGTGGATCATCTGCTGGACTTCCAACCGCAGCATATCCCACTGCGCGGCAATCATGTAGATGCGCGGGGGCAGGTCTTTCGGGTCAGCGTACCAGGGGCTCAACAGCGGATCGCGTCGGTTCTGTCCCACACAGACATACCCCCAGTCCAGAGCCCACGCCATCATGCCTATCTTGTCCAAGGGACCATCCGTGTAGGGGCGGGAGGCTAGTTTGATGGGCGGGGGATGGCCAAAGTCGACAATCGGGTAGTAGACGACGGCGGCTTTGACCCGTCCATGCAGGGGAGGCAGCTGCGACACCGACAAGGCCAGATTCCCGCCCGCACTGAACCCCCCAATCGTGATGCGCTCGGGATCAATGGGCAGGGACTCATCCGCCAGCACGTCCTTAATCTGGGCGACTAGATCGTAGGTGGCGGTGGGGAAGGGGTGTCGCGGTACGCGGCGGTAGTCCAGACTCACGACGAGCATGCCGGTCCGCTCGGTCCAGGCGGCGCAGAAGCGGTCATCTACCTGGGCATTCCCCACGGCGAAACCTCCGCCATGGATGTTCAGATATAAAGGCAGGCGCTCACCCGCGCGATAGTTGGACGGGAAGAAGATGTGGGTGTTGAGCATGGGACGAGATGGGTAGCGACGGACAAAGGTGGGCTGGTAGCGAGGCGGCGGCTGTCGTACCAGGCGCCGAAAGTAGAAGTAGATTGCGGCCAGGGATTTCAGCAGCCATAGTCGGATGAAGCAGTCCACGCGGTGCCAGAAAGGCATGCGCACTTTCCAGAGAGGGGGAGGGGACTCCGCGGTGGTGATGTCGGCCTGTTCCTTCATGGTTAAGGCTGGCCGGTGAGACGGGGCTGAGGGAAGAAGAACTGTCTGTCTCAGCAGAAAAAAAAAAAAAAAAAAATTAATCAGTTCACGGAGGGAAAGCGAACTAGCGCGTTGGGAACGTAATCCTTCGACACACAGCCTCCCCGACCGTCTAGCGCTCCCGTCATCGCGATATAGATAAGTTCAAAGCCTTTATCTCCCACCCCTACTCCCAAGGAGCTCATCCCGTAGTTCCATCGCATAAAGAGGCAAGAATTGCCGCGTAGTCGAGGGGGACCATCGCCATGTTTCCTCCTGCCCGCACACAGCGGTCCCAGAAAAGGGAGAGAATGGGGTGTGACCGTCTTGCGCAGTGGTTGACATGGCTAGACGGGAATTAAGAGATTATGTGAGGGTAATGTGAGTGCCTGGGATGGTTGATCAGGAGTCAGAATGATACTTTTTGGCATCATAGTGGTGGTGGACAATATATAGAGAGAAGGGAAGAGGGCCGATGCATAGGCTCGAACGCGCCAATCTTCTCCTTAGACTTTAGGATCTGGCCAATGGTAGTTCTGTCAACTGAAATCGAGTGCTTCGAAACAGTTCCGGCATCTTTGACACTGTTAGACAAGTAGGTAAATAAGCAGCAGTAGAGACTCTGTGTAAAGCTTGAAGAGAAACGTAGGTGTATGTGTGTGTGTTTGTCTTGTTTCTTGTCCGGTTGAAGCTTCCCCGCATCTGTGCTTACCTCAGCAATCCCTCGCGTCTCCAGTTTCCTGTTTCATCATCAATTGTATTCTTTCTTCTCCTCAACTCCTCTACTTCTCGACTACATCTTCCTTATTGCTATACATCCCCATCACCTTCTCGTCTTCTAGTGCCCGCAAACCTTCCTGGTTAAATGATCTGCTTCACACACTTCTGCTGAATTGGCAACTCATCATGCCTCGTACTATCCCCCTTCGCATATCCCCCTCTTCAATATGGGCGAACGGATGAATTGTGGGTTCCTTTATGTCATCATGGCATCATCATCATCATCATCATCATCCTTCGTCTCCTGCCATCAATATCATCATAGTCTTCATCATCGGCTTCTCCTCCGATCGCCCAAGATTTCTTGCCGGCCAAACTCAGGAACACCCTTCCATATCCCTTTTCTCCCTCCCGGGAAACCAACCCCTTCTCGAATCTTCTCAGAGAACCATCTCTCCCACTACCTACTCTTCCTGATAAACCGGCTGTTGTGCCCATGTCCACGCGCAGAAAGAAATCCGAGGTACGTGCTTGGGATTCCCTGCCGCGCCCTCCCTCCCCCCCCCCCCCAACTGAATCGCCCATTCCTTAGTCCTAGTCTCTTATACATACTATCGTAGACTGCCCCGGCCAGGGCCGTTCGCGCCCAACAACCCGCCGCCGAGTATGCTATCAGCTCGGGTAACTACCATGAGGACCTGCTGCACGATCTCTTCCACGTCGTCCGATCCATCGACCCCGATCACACTCCGACCCTCGTTGACATGATCCGCAACCATGCCTCGCTGGACGAGGTGCGGGCCTACCTCACTCGCGCCCTGGCCGCTGCCCAGCCCTCGACCCCAGATCAGGAGGACGCCCTGCACCGCCTGGAGGGCCTGCGTCGTGGTATTGAGGTCGAGAGTGAGCCCCCGCGCTTTCGCCCTCAGATCATGGACATCCGGTATTTGTGCAGTAATGCTCCTTATCGCGTCCCTGCCAAACCCTGGACTTCGGTCACCGACGACGATGAGCTCGTCTCCCACTTGGTCTCCCTCTACCTAATCTGGGACTATCCCTTCTTCGCCTTCTTCGACAGCGAAACCTTTATTAAGCACATGGCCATGGGCAACACCGAGTCCGACTTTTGCAGCCCCTTCTTGGTTAACGCCCTGCTGGCCAACGCTTGCGTAAGTCCATCCCACCCTGCCGTGTATCTCTTCGAGCAGACTGGATAACCATGGGCATTGCGTGGCTCTATCTAGTACTACTCCCAATACACCGAAGCCTACACTGTTCCCGGTGATGTCCGCACCAAAGGAGCCGATTTTCTGGCAGAAGCAGAACGCCATTTACAATCGCATCAGTTTGAAAAGGGAGGCGATATTCGTCTAGCATCTTTACAGGCGCATCTATTGCTGTATGAGAGGTATGTCCGCACCAACCCTGGGCGGTGGGCGCCCTGATTGTATGTTTCTAATCCACCAGGTACTCCTTGTCCGGCCACGATGACTGGGGCTACACTATGCTGCACCGCGCCATCGAGATGGGAGAGTCGCTAGGCATCGTCAACACGAAGACCGACTTGCGCCTCTCCGTATCTCAAATGTCCGAGGATATGATCGTCTCCATCAAGCGCACCGCCTGGGGCCTGTTCCAGGTAGACACGTAAGTGCGATCTCACGTTCCTGTCAAGCAATATTTGTCCTAGGGCCCATTCTGATGGTGGACAATGACAGGGTCGTCCACACCAACTTCCTCCGGCCAAGCCGCGTTAGCTCCGTAAGTGTCGAGCCCATCGACCGAAATGGCACGAACTCGAGCGACATGTGGGCACCGTACCCAATATCTCAAAACTCCCGCCCGTCGTACCTGAACCTCTATTTCGATGAGGCTTGCAAGCTCTCCTTCATCGCCCGCGACATTTCCTGGAGTCTCTCCCGCACCGATCGATCGGGCACCGAGCCAGATCAGCGGAAGCAAGAACTCTACGACCGGCTCAGTGTATGGGAAAGCAATCTTCCCGAGTACTTCGATCCGGCCACGCGACCGGCACCGCATTTACTGTTGCTCAGGTGAAGTGATGACACGACACGAGAGGCGGCGAAGCATGAGTGAACTAACTAGTCTAATCGTCTACAGAATGCGCTACCATACACTAGTGATAAACCTCTGCTGCGATCGATTTGGATTCCACCCCATACTCGCGGAGGGTGACAAGCGGACGCCTCGAGAAAGCAAAGGGTTCAGCGCCGTGGAAATCGCCCTCTCGTCAGCACGAACCATCGCCGCGCTCACCCAGCAGCTACGGGTGGAATACGGGATGGAACATGCCCACCAGTTCGCCATGTACTCGGTCAACCTGGCGCTGTTCACCCTTCTTGGCCAGGAGACCTTCGATATCCTTGACCGCGACTTCCTCTCTCTGACCAGCGCCATGTCGATCATTGCCTGTCGTTCCCAACTGGGACGCCACCTCTTCCATCTCTTCAAGCTGTCGGTGCGGTCCCGCAACCAAGGCAATCGGGTGCAGCAGTCGGACGAGGTGCCACCCGGGATCAAGGAGCTATTCCAGCAAGACTCGATGGCACAGGTGCCCGACCGGTGGGATAGATACGCCGAGGGGTTAACCAAGATCGATGGCGAACAGAGTTATGTGGACCACTTCCAGGACGATCCCCAGTCGTTAGCTACCTCTGGACTGCACGAGATGCTGCAGCGATACGAGCGGTTAAGTGTAGGCAAGGACGACGAGAGGCGCGACCGTCGGCCAAAGGGAGTGACACATTTTTGAACTCACTCTTCTTCAACAAGAACATAAATTAGACCATGTCCCAATGTGGCCATGAACCTCAGATATATACCCCTGAGACTGTACATACATATGATTCGATCCCATCTGTAGACGATACACGAAGTTACCACATATTCCTCCTCACCCATTACTATCTTCAGAAAATCCATATAACCATAAGATCAATTAATCCTCCACTCGGTTAACCCGAAATAGTACCGACATCAACTCTGATTCATAAATACATATATATCACCACCCCTCATGATCCCTCCCCCCTTTTGTATGATTACATCTGTCTAAACAACAAAGGAAAACCCAAAATATAATACATCCGAAAATAGAATAGTAAGTTCACGAAAGACCCCGCAAAGTTTCTCATAAGTAAAGGCCCTCTTCTTCGAGGGTCTCCAACACCTCCGACGCACTTCCAATCAAGTGCAGACTACCCGTGATAAGCACAAGCGGCGGCACACGGCCCTGGCCACCGACGCTGCCAACACCCCCAGCGCAGCGAATAGCTTCCTCGACGGTGCGCACGACAGTAATACCCGTCAACTCTTCACCGGGGATACCGCGCCAGTAAGTGCTCAGCTGGGCCTGGAGGTTGAGGTTCTCCTCGCCTGCATTACCATGGAAAGTCATGGACGCGCGCTCCATATCCGCCGTCTCATCCTTCTCCCAGGCAATGTTGGAGCAGAAGATGACATGGTGGAATGGCTTCTCGGCCAGACTAGTCCCAGCACCCGCAGTCTGACGAATACTGTCCCGGAGGTGGCGCACGAGGGTGAAGGCATCGCGGGTAGACTGGTTGAAGATAAGGACCCGCTTGGCGGAGTCCTGCTGCGGTGCGGCCTTCTTCGCGAACCAGGATCCGACCAGGTCCATGCTCTCCACGGTGTGCGCGCCATCCAGATGGAACCGACCGGACCGGCAGTCCCGCGTCTCGCAGCGGCCCGGCCAGCTGGCGGTCTCCAGGGCGCGACGGAATTTCTCCGGTAGGGGAGCGGAGGTGATGTCCTCGGGAATGTCCGAGTAGCCCATGTTGCGTAGATGGGTCGCCGCGACGGCTATGGCCAAACTAGCGTTTATCTTCTGGAAGTCTCCTGCTAGTCCCAGTTCCATGGTCTCCACTTCTGGGTGCACGGGGACAATGGTCAGTGGCGCTCCCACTTCGGCTGCGATCTTTTGCAGGGTAGCGGTAGCGCCGGGAGCTTGGGGAATAGTCAGGATCGGGACACCGGGCTTGATGATGCCGCCTTTAGCCCAGGCGATCTCCTCGATAGTGTTGCCTAGCAGGTCGGTGTGCTCGAGGGCGAGACTCGTGATGGCGCTGACGCTAGGTTTGTGGAGGATGTTGGTTGAGTCATGTCGCCCACCGAGACACACTTCGACCACGGCGGTGTCGACTTTCTCCTGCAGGAACCCGTGAAGGGCCATGAGCGTGAGGAAGCGGGCAAAGGGAGGACCGCTCTTGGAGGTCTCCTCTGTCAGACCGAGTCGGCCCCAGACATCACAGAAGTACTGGACGAATTGGTCCTCGGTCAGGGAGGTGTGGTGGAAAGGGGTGTCGTTGGACGGGCTGATCCGAATGCGCTCTCGGACGGTGCGCAGATGAGGTGATGTGTAGAGCCCCAGCTTCTTGATTGGGTTCTGTGACATGTGTTAGTGGTGTCTGCGGAAAGATATCTTCGACAGCTCAGCTGCAGTGGTTGCAGTGCATACCTCGTGGCCTTGGTATTCGGACAGAATCGAGAAGATAAACGCCGAGGTGGAACCTTTGCCTTTACTTCCGGCAATGTGCACCGCATTCAGGGGATCGAAATCGGGACTCTGTAGATCGCTGTCAGTGTCTGAATAGAGTGTCTTCGATGATATTTGCCTACCTCATATCCCACTGCACGACACCATTTCAGCATGTCCTGGATGAAGACACTACGGTCCGCTGTCTTGATGGCGAGTTGGCGGTACGCAAAGTTGGTGTTGAGCGTGTTTAGCTGGCGAAGGGTGTCCTTTCCAGGGTGTCAGTATGAGCTTTGACCTTGGATTGAAATGACTAACATTGTATGTAATTGCTTCTACATTCTTTCCCCCCTCCCGTTCAGCAGAGGGATAAGCTGTGTTCGATGGAGGGTCCATTTCAGGCATGAACTGGATTGACGGCATTGTGAGGGAGAATTGCGTTTACAAAAGCCTTGAGATCGAAGAGAGTTTTGATTGCCTTGTTTGGTCAATTGTGAACCCGATTCTGATGTGCTTTATATAGATATCAACAAGGGCTTCAGGTACAGTGACTTGGCATATTTCTGGCATGCGCCTTCTGTTGGGCAGCTTGCGCTGATGCTGAGCTGCAGGTCCGCAATGGCGTGAGTAGTAGGGTTGCGCACCCTAGAAGATCGACAGGTCGAGCCCGGACTTTCTTTCACCGCCAATAGTTTAGCTGCTGCAGAGTGGATATGCACGATCGACGATGCAGCCGCTGACGCGGCTGCACATTTAACTTCTTCTTTCTTCTTGGCGTGGGTAACTGTTCTTCTGAATTCTGAAACTTGCTTTTGCACCCTGATCGGCGTTGACGCCAACCCTGGGGCTCAGCCGCGATCTTCCCCAACTTTTAGTTTCCATTACTTAAAGGTAATTGCCATAGGGGTCCTTATTTCCTCTTTCGGTCAGCTAAAGCTCCGAATCACACAAGCTGTAGCTGAGAAAGTGACTCCGAATTGCCCGGGAACAGACGGAATTTTACATCCACACCGAAGGCCCCGTGCCGTGAAAAACACTAGCTAGGCCGTAATGCATCCCATCCATGATGTGATCTCCGGTTGCCATTTGTGGAAAACAAGCATCGATCGGGCGGATGCATATGTCATCAGGCAAGCAGAGAATGTCAGCATAGAGCTGGTATAACTATGCCAGACATGGCAAGTTTCGCGGTCGATTGACGCTTTGGCTGAACCAAGTCACTCCTTTTGAATTTTTCAGGGCCTTTACCAACCCTTTTCACTCCCTAAGGCAATTATTATTATCATGTCTCAAGAAGTCAAGGACAAAGGTCCTCAGGAGGTTGTGCACACAATCGAGCTGGGCTCCCTCGGGGGCAACTCCAGCAGTGCCAGCCTCCAGCCACTCTCTCAAACGGCCTCAGAGGCGGCGCCTCCGCCGCCGCCGCCGCCACATACAGTGTTGACGGAGAGGAAGAAGATTATGACTATCGCTATTGCGGCCATCGTGGGATTCCTAGCCCCGGTGTCAGCAAACATCTACTATCCCGCCATTGACCAACTATCCGAAGACTTGCATGTCTCCGTGAGCAAAATTAACTTGACTATCACCACTTACATGGTAAGATCATATCACATGTCCGGAAGAATATCTTGCATAAGCTAACATACACGGGTTCAGATCTTCCAAGGAGTTGCGCCGTTGGTGACGGGAAGTATATCGGATGTATATGGCCGTCGACCCACGATGCTGGTCTGTCTGATCACCTACCTCGCCGTCAATATCGGCCTGGCGCTTCAAGACAACTACATTGCACTCATCGTCCTCAGAACCTTCCAAAGTTGCGGAAGTAGTGCCATCTCGGTCGTCGGCATAGCTGTTACGGCCGACTTGGTCACTCGAAGTGAGCGTGGTAAATACATGATCTACTCGTCGCTGGGAACGACAATGGGACCTGCCCTCGGCCCTATCATTGGAGGTGTCCTGGCCCAGTTTCTTCGCTGGCGAAGTATCTTCTGGTTTCTCGCCATATTTGCCCTGGCGATGATAATCCTCATCCTCGTCTGTTTCCCCGAAACCTGCCGCATGGTGGTCGGAAATGGATCTATCCCCGCGCCGCGTTGGAACCGGCCACTCATTCCGATTGTGCAGCCCTCGGCCTATGAAGGGGCTGAGGCAGCTAAGAAAGAGCTGGAAGATGGGCCTAAGCCCCGTCGACCGACGCCGATTGACAGCATCAAAATCGCTTTGGAAAAGGAAACTGGCGCCATCATTGCCTTCTGCTCTATCCTCTACTGCGGATACTTTGCTGTTCTCAGTAGTTTGTCGTCGGAGCTGGGAGAGAAGTACGGCTACAACTCGCTCCAGATCGGCCTGTGCTATATTCCATATGGGATTGGCAGTCTCACCTCGAGGTGGACCGTTGGGCGATTCGTGGACTGGAATTTCCGTCGCCTGGGGCGGCAACATGGCATGGAGGTGGTCAATAACCGCCAGGTGGACCTCATTGAGTTCCCTGTCGAAAAGGCCCGTCTCCAGATCACATTGCCAATGGTCTATATGTCCTGCATCTGCATCATTGGCTATGGCTGGGTCATGAATTACAGGACTCATGTGGCCGGGCCGCTCATTATGCTGTTTTTCACGGCGCATACCATTGCGGGAGCTACCAGCACCCTGGTCACGCTCCTGATCGACTGCCACGTCAAGCGGGCGGCGACAGTCACAGCTTCCAACACAATGTTTCGCTGCTTTCTAGGCGCAGGTGCGGTTGCAGCTGCAGTGCCTATCATTAACGCAATCGGTATGGGCTGGATGGGGACCCTGATCGCTGTCCTGTGGGCGGTTTCCAGCGTCCTTCTTTGGGGTGTTTTACTCTGGGGCCACGACTACCGCAAGAAACGGGCGGGGAGAATCTGATAGGATCGTCATTCATTCAGGGGTGCCAACATACCTAAGATCTACGAGCCACTGTGGATCGAAGTAAGAAAAAAAGATGTTTCATAAATAGACAAGATCGGATAGTTGAAGTCAAGAAACCACACCTTAGACCTTTCGTGCATATACCAGAAAAGACCTTTCGTATGTAGTCTCCATTGTAGACGGAATTTGGTGACATCGCATTCCTAAAGCGGTCAAAGTTTGGACCTGTCGCCCGAGTATACGCAATGGCGTCTCTTACATCGCCCGTGCGCTGCCCTTGCATTCTGCTTTGTTCCGAATGTTCTTTGTAGAATGTGCTTTGTAGATTTGAGCGGGGATCAGGCTACGACATGTTGCTTACCCATCATGCCGTCCACGTACTCACCCTGAGGTGATGGAAAGATCATTGCCGTGTGATGGGATTCTAGTGGAAACCGGCGTCACATCATGAGAATCACGCAATAATTGTCGCCGGTGTGATGCCAGAAAAGCAACGATCAGGGGAAACCAAAGTTCTCCGGACCGACGTGGCGGGTTCATTGTCCGAGCTGGCAAGTGAACTCCGAAGAGAGGTCCCGACAAGAGCTGTTGTGGAGTTGGGCAATATCTGCAGTGTCAGTCAGCATCACGAAATTGGCCGATCGCCGCCCCCGACGAGCGGTGCGGCCGGAGGTGCAGATCATCGGCCTGGAGCTGCAGCAAACCAAGACGGCCCCTGGCCCACACGTGCAGATCGATAGATTTCATCAGCAGCAGCCAGACCCAGGCTATTGTTCCATAGTTTCATGGTTAACAGGCATCATTGTTCAGCTCGAACATGGCTTGCGCCAGAAGGTTTATTTACGTAAATCCATCACCAAACCCTGCTGGCTGACAGCAAGCCTTCGTCGTAGAAAGTATATAAGGGAGAGAGGATCCACTGAGAGACCAAAGCCCAGACACGAGCAGATCGAAGAAGCTTGGTGACAGAGCCAGTGGTGATAATCTCGTGAAATTCTCTTCATCATGCATCCTCCACCTACGCCCCGACCACACAGCGACAGGTCTTCGCACACTGTCTCGAAATGGACCACGCCCATCCCCCAATGTTCACTCCCCCGGTTCGTGTTTGGCTCCCCTCGACGCTCCCTGAGTAGCCGAAAGATCCTCATCGATGCCGACTCCCCGGATACGAGAGCTTTGTCGCTGGCCCAATACCGACTCCTCTCTGCTCGTGTAGCAGTGGGTTTGCAGAAACTGGGCGTCAACCCGAAAGATCGCGTGTTATGCGTGACCTCCAATGCCCTCTGCTATCCCGCACTCCTCATGGGCACTGTGATGGCCGGGTGTATCTTCGCGTCTGGACAACCTGCTCTCAACCAGGCCGAATTCCATCGTTTGATATCCTTCTCGCAACCTTCGGTGATTTTTGCCAGCCGTGCCACCCTTCCAGTTGCCCTGCAAGCCGCGCGCTTGGCCAATCATCCTGATAATCGAATTTTTGTCTTTGACGATGACATCCTAGACGGCTGTGGCGAGCCGGAAGGCCCGATTCAGCACTGGCAGACGATGGTGGCGTCCGAATGGGAGGGGTCTCGGTTTTGGTACCCCACTGTCATTTCTTCGCAAGAGTATAACAGCACAATAATGCTCCTTTTCACTTCCGGCACTACTGGTGAGCCCAAGGGTGTAGAACTGTCACATCGCAACTACATTGCGGCAGCGATGGGATACATCCGGCGAATCTCCTCGCATCCAGCTTGGAAATATAACCCTCGCCTTGGAGGCCCTGAGAACGTGCGCGTGTTGGGTTCCCTTGCAATCAATCACAGTGTAGGGCAGCGGTCATATTGCGCCATCTTTCCCAGGATGGGTGTTCCGCTGTATTTGATGCGACGCAATGACTTTCGGAGCATCTGCGAGGCAGTTGAGCGGTTCCAGATCACAGATGCAATCATACGAAGCTCTGTTCTGACCTCCATGGCGAAGAATGCCCCCATCTGTCGAGAATACGATTTGACATGTCTCCGACGTGTCGAGGCGTGTGCTGCGCCGATGAGCCAGTTCACGAAGTTCAAGCTGGAAAGTATGGGAATCGGATACGTTGCCCGTGCCTGGGGGCTTACAGAGTAGGTTTGTCCCTGCAAACCGGGGGTTTCCTGTTGCTGACTATATGACTGGACAGAACGGGAACTATCACTGGGCCCGATCCCCTGCGCCCGCCCAAGTCCGAGACGGTCGGGCAACTGAACGCCACGTACGAAGGGAAAGTAACTGATTCCAGCGACTATTCTCGGACATTGAAGACAGGTGAGGTTGGCGACATCTGGATCCGCACGCCAGGATCAACTCGAGGATACTGGAACAATCCCGCCGCGACGGAGCAAGTGATGGGAGCAGGCGGTTGGATCAGCACAGGAGATGTAGGATACGTCGATGACGAAGGCAATTGGTATATTGTCGACCGTAAAAAGGTAATTCCTTGCCTCGTTGCCGCGGGTTTGGCAGAAAAGATAGAACTCTAGCTGACTGTTACCACAGGATTTAATCAAGGTTAACGGAAGCCATGTATCTCCGGTCGAGATTGAGTCTGTCCTACTACAGCACCCGCATGTCTGTGATGTTGGGGTGATCGGAGTCGCAGTGTAAGCCGCCTGTGTCATTCCCTTGGAAGATGAGTCTAACTCCCGCAGGAACGAGGACGAGGGCCCCCGGGCCTATATCCAGACCTACCCCAAGACCTCGGTGTCCGCCGAGGAGATCCATGAGCTCATCTCGGAGAAGCTCCCTCCATACAAGCGTCTGTCAGGCGGTCTCTCGTTCATTGAGAAAATTCCACGGAACGCGGTATGCCCTATTTGTTGCCATTGTCTTATCCTCCATGAGCCGCATATGCTGACCATACTGTTCGTGATAGTCCGGCAAGGTGTTGCGCAGTGAGCTTCGGCAACTAGCCATCTCGGAGCTGGGAGACTATCTAGGAAACTACCACGGCACGTCCGCTTCCAGTTCCGAAGGGGGAGTTCACCTTTAGTCGTTGGTCAGGTCTTCATTTCCTGCCAATTGTCTGCTTCTGCGGGGGTTTTTCACGGGTTTCACACTGCAACCACTATAATGTCGACGTTTCTCTAATTTCCGTGAAAGGTGAGGCCCAGTGTTTGGGGGTTCTGTTTCGATGCAAGTAATAGGTTAATGGTCGCGCCAGCCACTCGCTCTTTCTATCTGCCAATTGTTTGTGTATATATATATATCCTTCACTAGCTTGGCGGGGTGAGCCCATTAGTCTCTAATGAAGGAAAAGTTCCTGGGAGTTACTGTTCACATGGTTGCAGAGGTTCATTGTCTGCCTCACAGACCTTTTGCTCTCTAGGCATCTGTAGCTCGGCATGTAGGTGTCAGCCAGGCTGTAGTTTTCAATGCAACTCATTTATTTTTGACATAAGTTGTTTCTCACTACGGCAAAACAAGTATAAATTGCAAGACAAGTGAGCAAAAGAAGCGACTGGGGAGATGGATCGAGCCGACCTGCGGGGGTGGAAAGGATTCAAAGTGAGGTGGAAAAGGGGGCGGGGGAACACGGCAGAACCCGACGCGGGACACGTGCCGAACCGCGGACCCTTCCCCAGAAAGTACTTTGTATAGTAGTTTGATGGTTATTGGTGATGTTGATGAGTGGGTTTTGAGAGGAGTACTGGTCTTTTGCATCAAAATGCTGATGTCTGGCTATGATACATGTCTATTAGTAAGTGGCAATTTAATCATGTGACTCCTAGTAGTAACTGCGACCACTACTTATATACATGATATATATATATATTGAGGTTATGCTTTTGCTAAGTACTCGTACTACAGGACTCGGTGCTATCGCCACTGGGAAGTCATCGGTCTCAATTCTCGAACACTTACCATAGTAACGTCTATTGAAGGTAGTAAGTATCCTGTTGCTACTCACAATATACACAGAGTAATGGTTACTTCCATGTAGAGAAACTACCGAAAGACTGGCGTGTGACGGGTGTTGCAACCTGAGGCTTCCAGAAGCACGGACACGTACTATCTATCCACTTTGGGATTAGCACCGAGACGGGACTGACTCGCCCTCCCCCCGACAAGTTTCCGGCTGCAATCGCGCAACAATCAATTACTTGTCAAGGACTCCGTACGGAGTAGTGAATCTCTTGCCTCCGGCAAACAAGTGTCGTGTCACCCTCCCAAGTTTTAAGCTTATCTTCTGTTCAGTATCAGATTATCACACATCAACAACCAAGCATGATCTAAGCTTGTCCCTCATGCAGACATTCATCGTCAACCTAAATCCGACAACATGATGGCATGAGTGACAGGCTGCGACCGCATTCCCGAACGCCTACTCCAATCCTCGCGTACGACCCTCGCCTGGTTTGTTCATGCCAATTCGACGGCCAGGACTTCCACACAGCACAATGATACTATATCGATCCACAGGATGGGTCCGGTTCGCCCGGTCGGCAGTTGCGAACCGGATCGAGAACCCCGGATGCTGCGGAAAGCCTCAACTCTGACAGCCAGCTTCAACCACGGTCGGGGATGATGTCATGGCGAGTGAACCTGGGATCGGGAGGGGTAGCCACGAGTTATAGATATACTGCTGGATGTGCAGGCGTGGCAGAGGTGTGTTCACCTCCTAATCGGCCCACGAGGCATTGTCATCCAGTATGGTCCACAATATCACCGAGAAAGAAACGCAGCCTACCATTTGGAGCCACATCAATGGCTCCGAGGGCGATATCCTCGATCGCTACTGCATCTCCGAGCTCTGCAAGGGCTGGCCAGTATATCGCGACGCCTCCGAATGGAACCACTACCGCCATCTCTTTGTCGACAAGGGCGCTTTTGTCTTCACTAGTAGGTCGCGTCTCTCCTTCCGGGGCAGCAAGTCCAGCTAACATGCCATGTCCCTTTCCAGCCTGGAGCGGCGGACTCCCCATAGACGATTTCATCCAGACATCCATCAAGGGACGCGCCAACGGAGACCATATCATGCATCGCGAAAACGGCACGCTCGTTGACCTGAACCCGACTACCGGTCGCGCCATCGGTAAAATGAAGGCCACCATTACTCAACGCTTTGATTGGGACGGCGTCGAGTTTGACGTCGAGTGTGATTGCCGCTTCATAAACTTCTGCCTGAAACAAGGAGGGGATTGGAAAGTGGTCTACATAAAGCTGTTCTACGAGAAGGATCGCGTCACCCCCGCAGATGGCCAGACGGTGCCGAAATTTGACCGGGCGGAGTTGGAGAAATACCCCAAGGGATACCAGTATCTGGCAGTGGCCCAGGCCAAGCTGGGCCACCCGATCTTGAACGATTTGCCCACGATGAACAACAAGGCGTTTTACAAGTTGTACGAGGCGATGGATGCGTGGATGGAGGCCCGACCGGTCGGAGATCTACTGGAGATTCCCAAGGAAGCGTCGCCACGGTATTGAAATCGAACTACCTCATGACTCTAGTTTTTTCAACTGTCATTGATTTGGAATTTGGCGGATCTCCGTCTCAATCCCAATATTCATCGCAGATAGCATATCATCACTCATCGCACATAATATCAACCGAACTGAACATTCTTCCAAACCTACATATCATGTCCAAATACGGAATGGAATCGAGGAATTGTAGCATCCCCCATCCAACCAGTCCCCAGTAATCTTACGCACCGGGGTACCCTCGCCAAACTCCAGAATCTGCCCACCCCCAGGCGTATCCGCATCAAAGGCCGGCCATCCAACCGTCACATTAACCGTGGAAGGATTCTTCAAGAATGCCAAAATATGATCCTGCATAGTCTCAGAAGTCTTCACCTCCAGCCCCGGGACCTCACCGACGTCTTCGCGATAAGTTCCAAAGATCATCAACAGGTCCGACCAGTGGAAGGCACCCAGCCAGTCGACGGGACTGATATTGGTGAAGTTGCCGGCCCAGAAGTACCGGTACGTCTCGAGCCCGAGAGACTTTCGTAAAGCTGAGTCCTGGGCAGCTCTGCAATCCCATTCTCCCTCGCTGATCATCACGCTCGTGGTATTCGCCGATGCGTCTTCGCGGGCCGCGTCGGAGCGGATGGCTGGGCCTCGAGCGACCTTGCCTTCGAGGTATCGCTTCGATTCGTTGGAGAAGATGTATTTTTCGTCGGCTGGAAGTATCGTTAGTACGGGACGGATGGAGGTGAAAGGCATATCATACGGATGTAATTGCTGAATGCAATCGAGGGTGATCCTGAGTACCGATTGATGTACTCCTCGATTTGCACCCAAGAGACCTGACGCATGCACTCCAGCTCGGCTTCCGCATCATCGCCGTAGTTGCAGCCCAGGGCCTTGGCGACAATGTCAAAGTCCTGGTAGACATCGTCGGTGGTGCTCAGGTCAATGGTGACCGATGGTGGCTGTGAGATGATTCCGAATTTGACTGCCAGTGGGTCATCAGGGAAGGCGAGGGTGTAGAGGTGTGTCAGGGCTGCTCCTTGGGATTGACCCCACAGCTACAGATAATAGTTAGTCGCATCGCAAAGAGCAAGTTCAACATGGTGGAGGACGACTGACCATGATGTTGTCGCGATCTCCACCAAAAGCTTCGATGTTCTCGTGCACCCATTCCGCCGCTGCCCTCACGTCCAGCAGCGTGAGCGACGTGTCGTTCAGGGCTCGGGACTTGGGATCTACAGACATAGACGTTACTGGATGCCATAGCACAACCGGCGGGAGACATACTTCCAAAGATATTCGCGCGGTAATTGATGGTCACCACAATATGTTCCTGCGAGCGAGACACCCACGGCGAGGGCAGCTGAGAGGGGATTTCAATTCCTCCAGTGATACCTCCTCCGCCAGTCACGAACAATGCCACAGGCAACTTGGAGGTGCGATTGGCATAGGACGGGGTCCAAACTGCCAATGACAGACAGTCTTCCGACGTCGACCAAGCCACTGCCCCTTGGTTCAGGTTTTCTCCCAAGTTGACCAAGAGGTTAGGGGGTGAATATTTGTTCCACATGGTGCTTTCACCAGTCACATATTGCGGACAGGCTGGCCGTGGGTTAGCTGATGTCGCAACCGGGACTTCGTACGGTTTGTTAAGAATTTCATAGTACCTGGCCCATATCGAGTCGAGTCAATTCTTCGGCGCGACTTTTCAGGTTTTTGTGGGGGCATCCAGCGAAGGTCACTGACAGGAGGCTAGCGCAATGATCTGGTTAGCAGAGATAGTCATGTCCACGAAGTCAATCAACACCGACCTTGGCATACGGGATGCGCAGGAATTGGCGAACATTGGGGTAAGTATCATTCAGCATGCCGATGAAGGTGCCCGTCTGCGTCTCCACGGTCAAATTGGACCAGTTAGAGAGCGTCCGCGGGGGCTGCCAGGTAAGATTGGCATAATACGGAGGATAGACCTCGGCAGACGCAATGGCAGCGCTCCCAAGAAGGGCGCCAATATTCCAAGATAGCTTCATGATTATTGTCTTCCTTTCCTGGGCTGGACCGGGATCCTGAAGCTAGACGAAATCCCAGATGATCCTTGGGTGCTCTCTGGCACATTATATAGCTCCAAACATCCCGTGGGAAAAATCCTTCTCAAAGCTTGAGCTCCGTCATCCATCCCGGGCATTCGGAGTAATGCAGGAAGAAAGCTCAACAGTGGGGAAGTCGGATACTGTTTCTGGGACCGATCTCCGCGCCGGTATAGATGCGATGGACGCCAGAGAGGGCCGATTGGCGGAGGAAGGATCAGCGGATATGTCTTATGCCGGATGGTGCGGTGGTTCCATCCCCACGCCAGCCTCCCCGCGTCCACTTCCTGGGGATGGACGAGCGGCACTGGCCGAAGGGTTCCATCTGGTCCCAACGATGATGCAGAATGCAGTTTGTTGCGGGGACTTGGAGAGAAGGACGGGATGACCGACAAATCAGCTGTAGTGCCGTAAATTAAACATGACGGTGGGAGTGCTTGAGCCCATTCCGGATGAAGCCTGATTGATTCCACTGCCTGAAGGAACCCCAATAACACTGGCACTAGATCGCTCGTCAGAAGATTATCAGCCTATTAAGGTGTTGCACACAATGTGACTGAAATGTCTTCACAATAATGATGGCAGTTTTACTATTATAATTGTCACATTCTGCTATACACACGACCATACAAAATATCAAACCTGAAGAATCTCCACCCAGTGGATTCAGAAAGCAATCCGGCCAAAGTTATTTAGCCCGAAGCCCCCGAAGTGCAAGTGACGCCCAAGCCAGACGGGGTATTGGCGCACAATACTTCAGATTTGCCCGATGGCGCCTTGACATCGAACCCACTGATGGAGATGCCACACGTTCCATCCGCACCGCAGTCAAGGTTGGCCACGACCGGGTCGTACTTGTCACTGGTTGTGCCACTGAAGCTTGACACAACAATATCCGTCAGTTTGGCGTTGCCCGGATTTTCCTCGCAATAGTCATCATCCTCGCCATAGCAGCTCTGGATCTGGAAGGCATAGTCGGAGTTGTCCACAGTGAAGTCGTTGAAGGTCACATTGCTGACCGTGGAGGTACCGTGGTCGCCTCCACTCGGATAAGTCTTGATCCCGGCGGCTTTGGTGGAGTTGATCATAGTTGCGCCCGTGACATAAATGTTCTTGACCGAATCGTCGCTTGACTTGCCCAGCGATCCCACGGAAATGCCATGGGAGCCGGTGCAGCTGATCGTGTCCACTGTCACGTAGTTGGAACTGGGCTTGAAGGCCACACAGTCATCATCGTTGACTACGGTGACCTCGGTGATGGTCACATAGGTACTCTCGCCAATGTCGAAGCCATCAGTGTTCTTGGGCGGGTTGTCTGACTTGGAGTTTGCATCCATCTTCAGGTTGGAGAAGACGACATTAGTGGCGCCACCCTTGACCGAGTTGAACACGTTAGGTGGATTCTTTTGACGCAGCCCGGAAATTTCCAAGTTGCTGCCGCCAGTGATGTACAAGAGCGTTGGGCGTGAGTAACTGCTGTCCGAAGCAAAGAGATCCCACCTGGATTGGATCGGTCAGTCAAGTTAAGTCTTGCTTTTGAGAAGGGTGACCACATACGCATCCTGGCCATTTCCATCAATGACACCAGACCCAGTCAATGAGCGCAGTTTCAAACCATCTACATCGGAAACACTGATCATGGCAGTACGACCGCTCCAGTAATCGGTGTCGCTGGCGAACTTCAGAAGACCTTCCACCTGGATGTCGCAATCACTGCAGCTGCCCAAGTCCAGCACACTATTGAGGTAGTAGGTGCTGCCCTCGGGGAAGACGATGGTGCCACCATTTCCGCACGAGCTGAGCGCCTCGGTGATGGCGGGGACATCGTCGGTGGACGAATCGCCTCCTGCGGTAGGGGTGCAGACAGCGCGAGCGTGAAGAGAAGAATCCGGGGCTCGCTGGACCTTGGAGGGAGCAGCATTGCTTAGCCCAAGGCTGGCTAGAAGAAAGAGGTTACGATATAGCGCCATGATGAGCGCTTTTGTGACAATTATTATGGATTACTCGCACTTTCGGAACAGGCGATCACTCCGGCGATGCCCAGCCCACTATATACGAGTCGCATCCTGCTCGGATGTATACGGAAGGTACCTCATGTGGCAGTAGTATTTAGTTGCAGCGAAATGAATCAGTGAGGATTGTGGGATGCCGAGGCAGACCCTGTCATCTCGGCTGGGGGTCAGTTTGAAACGAGCGGATGCTTAATTTAGAGACGGAGCTACCGCCGTGCCCTGACCATGTCATGGCCTGTCTAGTATCGGTTAATTGGCCTACAACAGCTGGCAGGGTCCTCAATGAACTGTGAGCACGACTTTGCAATCTATTCTTATGCCGAACTGCCGACCGATCCCTGCGAGGCACGATGAAACCCCGCCCACTAACATGCAACACTCGACCGTTCCAGGAAGCAGAGCGGCCAGCTGACGTGCTGGTATGTCGATCCGGATAAATTGCAAGGGCTGTTCCTCCGCCCCCTGCTGAGGGCTGAACCTGTCTGGTAGCTTTCCGATGGCACGCCGCCAATCGCTCCATTCTGCACGGAAGACCGTCGGTGTCAACGGCGCGTTCCTGCAGGCGGAGGGTGCTTATTTGAAACGCCATGGCGTCCATGCCGGGAAGGGTAGATGGTTATTCATGGAAGTGTGGAGTAAATTCTCCGGCAATGGTGTCTCTTGGCGCTTGGCCGCTGTTTGGTCCCAGTGTCTTGTTGGTAGCCTTCCAGGGCGAAGAGAGACATCTGGAGATGTCATGCCTTGAGCTGACAGCCTTGTGACATGTGCTCGGAAGCGGGTTATATAGCCACTTGGCATATCTGTCGATTCCTTCCTTTTCTGACCCCCTGCCAGGACATTATCCTCACGTTTTCTAGTCCAGGGGATCTCACAGCAACAAATCATCATGTATACTTCATACCTTCTGGGCACACTTGCCGTCCTAACTGCTACCGCGGTCGGAGCTCCGGCAGAACACATTAAGAAGCGAGAGAGTCGGACTAGTGCTCCCTCGGGGTGCCTGACGGTCGGATCGGACGGCACATATTCCACCATCGGCGATGCGCTTGATGCCCTGGACTCGTCCAGTTCATCCGCTTGCATTTACGTGGCGAGCGGCACGTATGAGGAGCAGCTGACCATCGACTATGATGGCAACCTGACACTGTACGGCGAGACCACCGATACTGGCACCTACAAGGACAACGTAGTTACCATTACCCACACTATCTCGTCGTCGGATGCCGGCTCTCTCGACAAGAGCGCCACCGTCAACGTGGTGTCGGACGGGTTCAGCATGTACAACATCAACGTGGAGAATGGATATGGAGAGGGATCACAGGCGGTGGCGTACGTATTTTGACTTTCCCCAAAGACAAAGAGTGGTGGCTTAATAGCTTGGTAGTCTTGTTGGAAATGCAGATCAGTTGGGCTTCTATGGGTGTCAATTCAGCGGGTACCAGGACACCCTCTATGTCAAAGCCGGCACCCAGTACTACTCTAACTGCATGATTGAGGGTCAGTATCTGTCTATATAGTACGAGTAAGAAATGACTGACTCATCTAGGCGCGGTCGACTACATCTTCGGCGATGCATCGGTGTGGTTTGGCGAATGTGACATTGTGTCCAACGGCGCCGGTGCCATCACGGCCTCATCGCGGGAAACCTCCTCCGACTCAGGCTGGTACGCCATCGACAACTGCAATATTAAGGCTGCATCAGGTGTCTCCCTGACGGAGAAGGTCTACCTGGGCCGGCCGTGGCGCGTGCTTGCACGGGTCATCTACCAGAACTCGGTGTTGTCGGACATCATCAACCCCAAGGGATGGACGACCATGGCAGACGGTGCGACGCCGCTGTATTATGAGTACAACAACTCTGGAGCGGGATCAGACACATCAGACCGCGAGTATGAGTCCTCCATTTCCGCGGCAGTTGACAAGACCACGGTGCTGGGCGAATCTTGGGGCGACTGGATTGATCGCAGCTACTAAGTGTGTTGTGGGCTGGACCAAAAGTTAGACTAGCACCTCATCGGCGGCGAGATGAGGCCATCGTATGATCAGCCCCCACAACCAGTATAGCTATACTCTATACCTTAATATGACTTTAACACGGTTAAGAACTTGATTTTACCCCCCGTTCCGGCAGTCTGGATCTCATTCCGAAATGGTCGGTTTTCAAGCAGATCCCGCGCATATCCCGTAGAGATCCCGTCCACTCTGGAGTCAATCTCTGCTCACCACTCGGTATCCGAATGGCGTAATGGCCCCAAAATGAGGCCTGGGCGTTTATAAGATATCGGGATCTGGGGACCGCCCGGAGGACTCGAGATCCTGAATCAGCACAACTATCTATTCCTACCTGCACCATCTTCACAGTGTAGCACCATGTCTACCAGCTCGCCAACGGAGAGTAAGAATGCCACCGATGCATTCGACATTGAGCGACAAGCGTCTGTATCTGCAACTGCAGCTGCAGTGTCAGCCGCACCCAAGTCTCTCGGTGCAGGCGTAAGTCATTTTCTTATATTCACTCTATACTGTCGACTAACGTACATGCAATGCGCAGTCTGCACTAGCTCTTGGCGCATTCGGCACGACTTTGACTACCCTATCCCTCAGTCTGATGGAATGGCGCGGCGTGACCATCACCAATGTCTACGTGGGCAACTTTTTCTTCATCGCAGCATTTGGACTCGTCATCACCGCACAATGGGAGCTCTCGGTGGGAAATGGTTTCGCCTACACAGTATTCAGCGCATTCGGTACACCTCCCTCATGCACCCAGTTTCTTTCTTCCCAGCATAGAAGAAGGCTAATCAGTCTGATATTCGAACAGGTCTCTTCTACGCTGGCTACGGCGCGATTCTCACCCCGGCCTTTGGGGTCGCACAGGCCTACGGATCCGACACGACACAGTACAACAACGCGCTCGGATTCTTCATGATACTATGGACAGTATTCGTGTTCACATTTCTCATCGCGTCATTGCCGATAAACCTCGCGAACATTGCAGTGTTCTTCTTTGTGGATCTGGGGTTCTTGACCGTGGCGGCGAGTTACTTTGCTGATGCGGATGGACACGCTGACTCGGCGAGAGCATTGCGCAAGACCGGAGGGGCGAGTTGTTTTGTGGCAGGGATGGTGGGGTGGTATATAGTGTTTCATCTGTTCCTGAAGGATAATAGTCTGTTAGAGTTGCCGTTGGGGGATACGGGGAGGTATTTTGCGAAGAGTAGGAAAGGGAGGGAAGAGTAGAGGGGCTACGCAGTGTGGTGGGATGTAGATCGACAATTTAGGAGGACTAAATAGTGGTAGTATAGTATATCAGGATATAATAATGTATTGAGTTAATTGTTGTGCATCAAGATAAGCTTATGTTCCAAGCCAACCCCCGTAATTGCGCTGGTTGTGCCATTCTCAGCGGGATAACGACATCTCCCTTCCACTCAAACTATCCAACAACCCTCACCTTGTCGATCCACGATGCGATGTGCTCAAGCCCGCAGATGGCGTGATCCGTGCGCGTCATTTACAAGCTTCCAGCGCAATCACCACCACCTCTGGACTACTTTTTGAGTCTATCAACAGACACTACTTATATACAAGTAGTTGCCCTGTGCCACTATGTTCGCAGCAACTCTTCTCAGCCCCTCTCAACCCCTCACTCTCCCAACTCACTATCATCATCACCACCACCACCATGACCCAATCCGATGTCCCAGCCACCGATCCAGCCGTCTACGAGGCCTACAAGACCCAATGGGCCTCATTACCCGACACCGCTGACGCCTGGCTAGCCCGGGCGCGTGAAGTAGCCACCGTACTAAGCCAAGATGCCGCACAGCGCGAGCAAGAGAACAAGTCCCCACGGGCGGAAGTAGCTCTACTCAAACACTCCGGACTGCTGAAGCTGCTGGGCCCTAAGAAATATGGCGGAGGCGAACAGCCCTGGAGCGTAGGATACAAGGCCATTCGCGAGGTGGCCAAAGGAGACGGGTATACTCTCATCTCCCCCATTCCATTCAATCCCACCCACAACACATCACAGCAATACTAACCAAAATCCACCAGATCAATCGGTATGCTCCTAGGCTACCACCTCCTCTGGTCCACAACCGCCAACATAGTCGGCACCCCCTCTCAAGCCGACCGCATCCACCAATGGATCATCACAAACAACTATTTCGTCGGCGGGGCCGTCAATCCTCGCGACAGCGATCTAACCATCACCTCCGACGGAGAAGACATCATCTTCAACGGGGCCAAATTCTTCAACACAGGTGGTGTCGTCTCCGACCTCACCGTCCTAGAGGGTGTCCTGGACGGCACAGGCGAGCACATCTTTGCGCTCGTCGAGACCCGACAGGCGGGGATCAAATTCGCCCATAACTGGAATAACATTGGGCTACGCTTGACCGAGTCCGGAGGAGTCAGAATAGAGAATGTGCGTGCGCCGTGGACAGACGCACTGGGATGGGATAATGTGTCGAAGAGGCCGCGTGAAGAGGTTCTGGGCGTGCCGTTTGCGAGCTTGTTGCTTCCGACGTATGATATACTCACCTTCCTTCACATAATATTCATTCATGAGTACTGTAATGCTAACTGAGAGGGCAGAATCCAACTCGTCTTCAGCAACTTCTACCTCGGCATCGCTCAAGGCGCACTAGACTTCGCATCCCAATACACCGTGAGCACGACCCGCCCGTGGCCCTTCGGCGGGGACAACAAGGCTTCTGCGACCGACGAGTTCTACATTCTCGAGCGATACGGGAACTTTTTCGCGCATCTCCGTGCGGCAGAGGCACTGGCTGATCGGGCTGGGGAGGAGATCTCTACCTTGTATCGCGAACACTCTGATACTCGGCCTGGATTGACGGCCAGACAACGGGGTGAGTTGGCTGAGTGGATTGCTAGTGTCAAGGTGGTTACTACGGATGTTGGGTTGAGGGTGACTTCGGGGATCTTTGAGGTTACTGGTGCGAGGGCGACGGCTGTGAAGGTCGGGTTGGATCGCTTCTGGCGGGATATTCGGACACATACCCTGCATGACCCGGTGGCGTATAAGAATCGCGAGCTGGGGAGGTATGCTCTGTTGGGTGAGGTGCCGGAGCCGTCGTGGTATACTTAGAGTTGCATTTACTGATAGAGCTTTATGAATATACATGTTCCAACGATTGTATATCTGTAGATGGTGGTGCAGACTACTGTCACGAGATCCCGTAAAGTATGATCGTATACCACGGATACTCTGTAAGTGTAACATCATTTTGTTGAAATTGAAGCTCGAATGAGAATGAAAGACAGCTACAGAAACCAATGAAAGTAGAGAAATAGGGATAAGGTTCAATTTCATTGCGACTAACTAAAGAAAGCATAATGAGCGAGTAGTAAATGCTCACTCAGTCTCATTTCACGAGGGGGTTTTTGGCACTCTCCCTGGACTACTTCATCTTTCCGCTTTGGCCGCGTTGACTGAAGGGCGGAATAACGGCCAAGATCACTGCACAGGAATAACGAGTGCCGATACTAGCCTCATTGCCATAAGATATGTGAGAAAATGCCATCTCCTTATGCTTGGCTTCGCCAAGCCAGGTAATGCCGGGGAGGTAGTATGACGGCCAGACATCGTTGGTCACCTGGCAAGTGGAAAGATTAGTTTTAAAGTCCACAAGAAGATCTGAGTTGTAGCTTACCTCTTTGAGGTCCTCCTCCTGTCCGCGATCAGACATAATGTACCTTTGGAGACGCGGAGCCACACGGACACCCCATTCCTCGTAGAGGCTGTTCGGCTTCTTTGGCAGGTGGTGCTTTTCTCCAAACGAGAAGGCTTCTATCACATCAACCACTTCGCGTGTCAACAACAAACGCTTCCAGTGCTGGTCCACATCAAGAAGTGCACTACTAGACTTCCAAGGGTACACTTCGCTATACCTGAGGGAAGACTCTTTGCCCTTTGCCAGGTAATTTTCCGGAACAGAACGCCGGTATTTTCTGTGGTACCACCCAGGCCCAGAATCTGAGTCTTGCTCAGAGCCCGAGTCCTGTTCAGAGTCGGCGAAGTAGGGTGCTCCATTATCTTCATAGTCTTCATCATATTCCAGAACCGGAAGGATGCTGACATCCATACCAAGTGCTTCAAAAACCGCATAGACGACAAGGTCGGCGCCCTTCAATGAACGCGGGAGCTGGAGCCCGGCTATATCCGAAGAATGGGGATAGGCATGGGAGCAGTGGACTCCAAACACGCCGCCTAACACAAACCATTAGATATGGTATATTCTGAGTACAATGGCAAATATTGATCGGAGGCAACTTACCATCTTTCATGAATCCAGGGGTGATGAGTAGACTTTCAATCAACCCATAAAGTGGGAGAGTGTGTGGATCAAGCACGGGACGGATGGGAGCGAGTATGGCACCGGGCATTTCCCGTACATATAGGTTGTATGTGAGCGTGATCCGATGGCCCGCTCTGATCGTCTCGATTTCATGCTCGCAATCCGAGTAGAAGGCTGCCCATTGGATACTAGAGCTACTTTGTCGGCTCCATTCAAACTTGGCCATCTGCCCGTGATGCTGCACAGTCAGGTTGCCTCCCTCGAATTGGCATGGCAGACAAACCACGAGTGATCCAATCTGGTGCTCCGAGCGTGGCGTGTCAACATGCTTTCGGAAATGCCCAGAAGGGCCCGAGTATACCTGCAGTGGTTTCAGTCAGCACATCATGATGTTAGGGACGGGAGCAAACGGACATTCAATTTATACAACTCAGCCTTCAGCTTGCGGAATTGCAATCGATTCTCGGTCTCACTGCTGATACCAGGCAGAAGGATTTGCTCGATGAGCTCAATTATGCCAAAGTCGGCTGGGTGGAAGCTCGTCAAAAATCGGTCGGGGTCAAGCTTCCCTGCCCGACGGTATTCAGGGTCAAGGATGTCCTGCCCACCCCTACCAAAACTCGCAGGTTGTCAAGCATCAAGAAGTGTTTGGAGTCCATGGATTGAACCATCACTGGTCTCACTCAGCACTGGAAGTGTGAGCTTTTGTGCGGTGGAGTCGTGCTCGGCACCCCAGTGAACCACATGCACACGGGGTGAAGTAGGTCCAGCTGCTGCTTGCTCAGAGCCGTTGGGATTCGCAATCGGGATGTTGCCTCCACATGTAAACAAGGCAGACGAGGTTTCGCTCTCAATTGCCTCTCTCAACTGCTGGCATGCCTGCGTAAAGGCAGCAGTCGCTAAGGACGAAGATCCGGTGGTACTCTTCTCTTCCGCTGTTGCCACGCGTGCCGCACTCAAGGTATCTAGGATTCGATCCATGAAACCAGGTTCAGGGGTTGCAAGGCCCTTTGTCTCACGCACGTCTCCCTTGGATTCCTGTTTTGGTCTATCCTCAGATTCAGTATCTTCTGCGTCGGTACCCTCAGTTTCCATATCATCTGTCTCCATATCCTCCGGGTCCTCATCAACTTCATCGAGACTATCTTTGTCTGAGGTTTGCTGCAGATATTCCCGGTCACAGGCTACCCTGGAGCCGACAGACTCCCATCGGCTATTGATTCTTCGAAGAACTTTCTCGTTTCTAAGGACATCAGTGCTTTCCTCGACGTAGCCCGGAAGAAGGCGATTCAAATTGTCTCTGAGTTCAGAGGCAATTTCCCGCAGCTCCTCGGCACCCTCCCCAGTCCATTCCAATGGCTTTGGGTGTTTATTGGGAGCTCTTCTTCCAAAGGCATAGTATGATCCAGATTTCAACTGATTCAGGATGGAACGGTTGAGCCGATAAACACGGACAAGGAACCTATCAACGCAGGCATCTACTTTGCAGTCCTGTCATATTATATCAGCACGTTTCCAGGATGGTCCAGACGCTATCATGATTGGTATATCTCCATGGTAAAGTACAAGAGATATGGTAGAAAAAACAGTATGTGAAAGAACAAGCCTCAAAGATGAATTTCCACATCAACCAGTCAACACGCAACAGAGTACTTACCTCGATGGCAGTCTTGTTGACCCAATCCTCCAGATCTACAAGGGTGCGCTCAAAATGGGCTGGCGAGCGAGACATTTTCCGTCTTGTTGATGGCGAAGGTAGTTGTTGTAGTAGGCTTCGTGATGGGGATTGAAACAAACGGCAGCGAGTGAGGTGGGATGGGTATTTATGGTGGAGGGAGGAGAGTCCGGATGAGGTGAGGATAGGGCAAGAATGATGGCATGGAAGGTGCCGAGGGATGCATCACCTCCAGGCAGCAAGAGCGGCAGCCTGGAGCTTCAAGGACTGAACAAGGGTAACCTGCAAAAGAACGCTGTAGCACGTTAAATAAGTCACGCATGGCAATAGTTCAGAGTTTCGACTGGCAGTAGAGGCAGGATGAGTCCAGGCTGGTAAGTGTATGAACTGGGAAGAATCCGATCAACATCCAGCCTGGGCGTTGGGGTATTGAGTTAGTGTTGCACAGGTACGGGACGGGCTGTCAATGCAAGGAACTTCGTTTGATACTAAATTGCTCTAATAAATCTTTCTTCTCATCAAGGAAATATTGTATAGTTGAAGTACTCAGACACTGTTGTCTTTTGCCTGTACTGGATCGAAATTCAACCTTGGTGGTGAGCGATACTAGAATAATTACTACCTAAACAGAAGCTTGAAATGGACTGGACACATGAGTGTTGTACTCCACTACTACTGCGATCGAACGTCTGTTCAAGCAGCCGAGTTTCACAATTGAAAGGACGGTAACTTTTAACTTACTGGCTTCTGCGTCGCAGCTGGCTATGTCTACTGGAAAGCACGGCAAACTCGATTCTCCTGTTCCAGGTTGCGCACAGATCCATTATCACCTGCCTCGCGTGTAACCCAAACATCCTGTGCCATCACAGGCCAGATTTATATGAAGAAAGCTATCGCTCTCATACAGAGAATGGATATCGATCAATCTGACCTTCTCCCGCCCTCGGTGTGGATTCCTGTGTTTCAGATGCCTTGTGAGCATTCCACATGACATCAGGATCGGCGCCAGGGGCGCCCACAAGATATAAACACCAGCGTCAGACATTCTCCCATCTGACACCTTTCATATTCTGAAAATGGTCGCATCAGCAGTATATACTCTTTTGGGGCTTGCCTCATTCGTTACCTCATCTCCCAGTCAACTAACCCTCACCTCCACCACACCATACCTTGACAACGCCAAGTCTGCCGTGACCACGCTACAGAAATGGTACAATCAAACAACAGGACTGTGGGATACGACCGGCTGGTGGAATAGTGCTATTTGCCTGACCATCGTGGGCGATCTCACAGCACTGAATTCTTCGATGCTCAACTCGAGCTCAGCCACATTCAACAACACACTCATCCAAGCCCCAAAGTCCACTCTTTCCCATAGCGTTCGCAAACCAACGTCGCAATACAAGCGTCAATCACCCCTGAATGATACTGAATCTGGTACTGAGTTTCTCAATGATTACTACGACGACGAGGGGTGGTGGGCGCTGGCGTGGATTCAGGCCTATGATTTGACTCAGGATCGGCGATACCTGGACACTGCAGTGAACATCTTTGATGACATGGCAGCCGGGTGGGATACCACATGCGGGGGGATCTGGTGGGACAAGAGTCATACAGGCAACAACGCTATCGAAAATGAACTGTTCTTGAGCGTCGCTGCTCATCTAGGGCGACGAGATACCGATAACGCATCTTACTATCTCGACTGGGCAATGAAAGAATGGGATTGGTTCGAGAATAGCGGGTTGATTAATAGTCAAAATACCATTAACGATGGACTGGATCTGACAAGTTGTCACAATAACAATGGCACAGCCTGGAGCTACAATCAGGGCGTGATTCTAGGGGGACTAGTCGAGTTGTCGCAGCTGGTCTCAAATACATCATATATAGCCACAGCGCAGCGGATCGCCAATGCAGCTATAAAGACATTGAGCGATGTCAATGGGGTTCTCCAGGAATCCTGTGATCCGAACTGCACCGGGGATGCACCACAGTTCAAGGGAATCTTGATGCGAAATCTTCAGATGCTGTACCAGGCTAGTCCTGATGACGGGGTGAAGCAATTCCTGCAGCAGAATGCCAACAGCATCTGGCAGAATGATCAGGGTGATGGGAATCAACTCGGCCCCGTCTGGTCAGGGCCTTTCACTGCGGCTGATGCATCTACGCAGAGTTCTGCCTGTGAAGCATTGGTGGCGGCAGCAGCCATTCGCTGAGCCGGCCATTCGCTGAGCTTATGCGTCACTGGAATAGTGCTTGCGCGTTAATAATGAAAGAGAGCTAGATTCACGCAATACATTCATGGGATTGTGCAGTGATTGCCCATCACGGGACAGATGGACATATCTACTATATAAAGGCTTGCCTCGCCGTCTTCTCCTCCAACTTCTGCATTTTCCTCAGATGGGTGAGTTCGAACCAGTGCGGCTGGGAGCAAAGAGTCTCAAGTTGGATATTTTGACGCGGGTCTGCCGTTCACTTCAACCTGTGATCACCCAATCAGGCACAGAAGAGCACCAGCGCCGAGCAAGACAGTGAATCCTCAAACTGGCCATGGATTCTACTACTTTTCAGCTCCACGATGGAGTGTTGCTTCTATCTCACACTGTCGTATCTCACATTCTCTCATTTACCTTTCCCATACCACTCGACTGCTCATCTCGCTTTCCTACCTGGCCAAGTACGTCAGAGCAGTCCAAGAATGGAGGAGGAAACATCAGGGATGGAGCAACCAGACTATATACTCGATAACGAAGGCGAGATACTCATCGGTTTGATGTATCCCAATCAGCCCTTCGTTTCCTTTGAGCCAGGAGTAGCGCGTGAGGCCGGCTCCCAGGTCGTGGATTCCGAGCTATTGCAACGATGGATAGCAATGGCCACAGATGCAGGAATCATGGAAGAGAAGTATAAGAAGCTCTCGGTACTTCCACTTATCGTTCAATCTGATGACCAAGTCGAGGCGAGTGAGCCGGAGAGTGGCATCTGGGGAATCGGCGGGCCACCTGTTGATATTCTTCCGAGCTCACTGCTGACGGAAGAGGAGCGACGAGCGCGTACACGTGTCAGGGAAGAGATCGAGAAAAAGATCCAGGCTAGAAACGATGGGAATGAGAGTGAGAGTGAGACCGAGGTCGTGGTTACCTTCCAAGCATCGGCGAAGCATCTTATGGCCGCGTCGCCATACTTTAAGGCCCTTCTCTCCACCGGCATGGAAGAGAGCGTTGAATTCCAGGCGGATGGAACAGTGCTGACGACAGCAGAATGTTGGGACGAATGCGCGCTTCTTTACGTCCTGAAAATCATCCACTGCAAAAGTCATGAACTTCCTGACAAAGTTGACCTAGATATGCTTGGCAAGGTCTGCGTCGTCGCTGATTATTACGATGTCAGTGATGCAGTACGCTTCGCCGCACGGCCGTGGATTGCGAAGCTCAACCCTTATGGGCCCGAGGACGGCTATCGCGACGCTGTGATCTGGCTCTGGATCAGCATATTCTTCCGAATGCCGGGTGTCTTCAAGGCAGCGAGCTTGACTTTGATCAAGGAAGGAAGAGCACACATGCCACCTCTGGGTCTTCCGATTCCGGCACGTATCGTGGGTAAGTTGCCTATCTACTCAGTATAATACGACGTCCACTGCTGACAACTCAATAGAAGAAATCAACGCCCGCCGAATCAAGGCCATTGAAGGATTGATGGGCCACGTCTATCGCGTGCAAGAAGAATATTTGACCGGGAAGAGAGGTTGCTCATTTGAATGCAGTTCCATGCTGTATGGGGCCCTTACGAAGAACCTCAACACACACAACCTGGCCAAGTCGGACTTCAAGGCACCCTTCCTGTATCACAACTACACGTCTCTTGTGAACATCATTGATCGGTTCAGGCAGCCAAGATGGTACGATCCCAGAAGTTCGAAGTACCTGTGCTGGCAGTACCTCGAGCACGAATGCCATGATGCCCACTTTTGGGAACTTCGAATGGGAAGGTTCCTTGATGAAGATGGAATGGAACTGAAGGATTTTATTAAGACGAACTGACGACGGAATGCGTATTTCCTTTTGTGCGCCGTGGATGCTTTGCTAGTGGAATAGTAAGGGGGTGTACTTGACTCAGGTGATGCATTTAAAAGTAGTAAACTACTAGTTGAAGATTGTATCTAGGAATGACATCTGAGTTTATTGTGCTTATCTTTCTTGACTATATCATATCCATTACTGCCTCAGGCAGCTAGTACTAATCATGTGCAGAGCTAGTCCCAGTCTAGAACGAGTGGGAAAAATTTGTCAGCTGAAGATTTCCCATCTGGGAAGTAATCAATCAGCCAATCAGAGAAGGCATAGCAACCGTGTGCGCACTGCCTGAGGCAGGTTTGCCTCCCGCAATCATTGAGAAAAGAAAAAGAAGGAAAATTGGAGGGAAAGTTGATTGTCGACAAGCCACGCTACTTGAAGCCAATATCATTATTATTTTTTCGGGTGTCGGCTGTAATACAATCATGGTATCGACAAAAGGTTCTAGGGCGGATCAACCATCGACTTCGAGACAATACACTATCCCAATCATTCCAGCTCCAAAGGCCCGTCCGAGTCTCAGTCTGCATCTTCAAAATCATTCAGCGCAGCCATTCAATGGTGTCATGTATAGGGCATATTGCGCATACTGCAGCGTTCATGGCTGGCTGTAACTGCCATCTGTGCCGTCTGCAGTATTCGATGGCTTCGCACTGCTTGCGTTCCAGGCTTTGGCATGGAAGATCCGCAGTATCCACTGAGGTTTGCGGTTCCATGCTACTGCCGTCGTCATTGGTTCCTGCACGATGATGGCAAACCGATTGACCATTCAGACGTGATCCGAGTGGACCCGAATCGGGCAATGGAGATAAGAGCTCGCTGACGAACTGCAGAAAAAATTGGGAAGAGGGAGAGGAAGAAAAATGGGGGAAAATGGCGTGCCGAAATAGCCAGCTCATCTGCGTAACAACCAACCCAAGTCTCCGAGTCTCAGTGACCCTAAGCAACACCCCATCATGAGTTTATCAACAACAACAGTCGAAAAACGGCTCCTCGCAACTGCAGAGCACCTCAATGTCCCTAATAAATCCCGTCCAACATCGGTTCCGTGGGTACATCCCCATTTAGAGCAGGGCGTGGTGCCGATAAAAGGCCGCCAGCTGCGTGCCTCGCAACCCATCCGCCAGGGCGAGCTCCTGATGATTGACGTGCCCTATGCGCTCATTCCCGTCGTCGATGACCCGGCCAGTAGCGATAGTCTTCTGTGCAGCAACCCAACCTGTAGTCGTCAGACGCAAGACGGTTCTGGACGAATCTCTTGTCCCAATCGCTGTCTCGCAGATGTAGTCTGGTGCAGTCCGACCTGCCAGGAAGCTGATCGATTACGCCATGAATTCGAGTGCACCTGGGTGCAAAGATACGCCGCTCCCATCCGCGCAAAATGGGGAGAATATGACTTTGGGATGATGTGGCTGATCGTCCGCATCCTCGCTTCTCGACATATGGAGCGACAACAGCTGTCTGATACAGAAAATGAAACGAACCAGCGATTCAAGGGTGGCTGGGATGCCATCCAGTCCTTCTGTGGCTCAATAGACAGCTGGGCCCATTCCCAGGTACGGTCATGGACGGCGTTGGTCAAGAAGTACCTCCGCAGTAGTCCGGTTCTGCCACACGACTTGAGTGCCGACGACATAGTGGCTCTGATTTGCCGGGAGGAAGCCAACTCCTTTGGCTTATATCCCCGAGAGACGGGTGTATATCCTGTCCCAGAACCCCCTGTGGACCGGGGAGAGCAGTTTGCTGCGGCCGTGTATCCCCGAGCAGCGATTGCCAACCATTCGTGCAGTCCTAATGTAAGCGCTCCCAAGCCCCTCCTTGACCATTAGCTAACACGACCGACCAAGATCATGCATAAACCAGACCATCACGGACGGATGGTATACATTGCCTCGAGGGACATTGCCGCCGGCGAAGAGTGCTGCATATCCTATTTCGACCTCAGCAAACGTGTTGATCTTAAGTCCCGTCGTGATCACCTCCAGGGTCTGTTCAGGTTTGTCTGCGGATGTGACCGATGTTCGGCTGAGGAGCCATCGGAAAAAGAGTCCGACTGGGTTGGACTGCCTTTCTTGGAATAGAGTGTTTGCACCAAGATGCTTCTGGGCCCGATGGTGGCTAGTGTTTTCGGGATTTTCTTGGCTCGGTTTCTTTCATTGCAGTTACAGCGCCGATGCATCACCAGCTGGTCCTGGTATGAGGTTACTATATAAATTATTGTTAGAAGGTGATGATAAATATGTTTGGTTAGAGTTATGACATCCACGTGTTCCGTGACATCGATGGCTTATGTCAATTGTCCGTGTCCGACTCAATAGTTCATGCGACATGTTCTGTCAATCGGGTTGTTAGCAGCTAATTTAGACTCCTTCCTCGCGTTTTTCTAGAACCCTACAAGATATTTCTCTCGGGATTGAAGAAACGTCAATGTGTTCCTCCTTCACCATGTTCCAGCCAAGATCAGGCTACACGATCGCCGGCTGCCCAACATCTCGATTTGATAACGGCCCAGGATGATCGCACAGAGCTATCTGCATCTCAAGTGGATGCCCTCCTCTCATAGGCCGAACCCCGCCCGAAGCGCCCTAACGCCGTGCTCCTAATGCAAGTACGTGGGGGCAATCTCAAAACTTCAAAAGCGGTATGATCGAGTGCTGGCGCTTAAATAAAAGGTAATGCTCGTGATTAGGAATGGGAGCATGTGCAGCTGTCAAGTATGGATACCAAACACCGCCAACCCGACCTCGGCGTGGCCGAGGCCAGCGACTATGCTTCAGAGTCTCCGGAAACCCCGAATATCACGGCCGGATCGCAGCATCTGCATCGTAAGCTGGGCGGAAAAGAGGTTCAGCTCTTCGCGGTCGGGGGAGCCATAGGAACATGTACGTGTCGGCATGCCGGTGGCATAGAAGAACCAAGGCCCCAAACCCTCGACTAACTGTCTGCAGCGCTTTTCGTCCAGGCGGGTGCTATGTTGCCTAAGGCAGGTCCTGCAGGTCTTCTGATTGGGTTCCTCGCATACACGCCTATCATACTCGCTGTCAACCAATGCTTTGGTGAGTCTGTCTCATTCGAACCTTTTCTCCTGTGTTCGGCAGAGCTGAGCTGACCCTTGCAGCCGAGATGGTCTGCTATCTGCCCATACCCTCTCCATTCATTCGGCTCGCCGGTCACTGGGTAGATGATGCCCTTAGCTTTGCCATGGGCTGGAATTTCTTCTTCACCATGGGTTAGTCGTAAACCCTCTCAGCAGATTCTGGAAGGTTAACCTCAGCAACAGCATTGGGAATTCCGTACGAGATCGTCGCTATCAACATCCTCCTCACCTACTGGACGGATCGTGTGCCTGTAGCGGCTGTCGTGGTGATTATGTTGGTGCTTTACACGTGGGCATCTCTGATCCCTGGGCTATTGTATCTTCGACATGACTGATTCAATCTCAGGCTATTGAACGTATTCACTGTTCGCTTCTTCGGAGTGTCAGAGTTCTATCTGTCATTTTTCAAGATATTCCTCATGATCGGACTTCTCCTGTACACCTTTATTACCATGGTCGGAGGCAATTCCCGGCACGATGTGTACGGCTTTCGATACTGGCATGATCCGGTGACTACATCTCTCATCGTTAGGTACTATCCAGACTGATAGGGTGCCACGCAGGGGGCTTTTGTGTCCTACATTGAACCCGGAAGCGTCGGGCGCTTCTGCGGCGTTCTAGCATGCATGATCCAAGCCTCATTCACGTACGGCCAACCCATCCACCAAACCCCCATCTACTTCGGAAACTTACCACCGCAACAGAATGGTCGGCCCTGAGTACATATCCATGGCCGCCGCAGAAGCCGCACGACCACGACGAGTAATGCACAAGGCCTACGCGGCGTACCCCTGGCGACTAGTTACATTTTTCATCCTGGGTGTACTATCAATGGGTATACTCATACCTTACAATGATCCTACTCTCGCCGAAACCTTGGCAGGAACGGGGCACGAAAGTGGCACGGGAGCTGCGTGAGTCCGATCCTACCCAAATATACTTATCCAGACTCTGCCCTCTAACATCCATATCTTCTCCAGCTCCCCCTACGTAATTTCCATGAACCACTTCAACATCCGGGTCCTCCCGGACATCGTCAACGCCCTAATCATGACCTCCGTCTTCTCCGCCGGCAACAATCTCGTCTTCTCCGCCGCGCGTACCCTCCACGGCATGGCCCTAGAAGGCCGCGCCCCATCCCTCTTCGCACGGTGCAACTGCAACGGCCTGCCCTACTACGCCGTCGGCGCCTCGCTAGCATTCTGCCTCCTCGGCTTCCTCCAAGTAAGCAACTCCTCCGCGACCGTACTAAACTGGCTCGTGGGAATAATTGTCGCCTCATACCTATTAAACTACGTCGGCACATGCATCACATACCTGCATTTCTACGCGGCACTGCGCAGACAGGGTATATCCCGGGATACACTCCCATATAAGGGAGTTCTGCAACCGTATGCGGGATGGTTCGCGCTGGTGGGCACGATAGTCATGACGCTGATTATTGGGTTCGAGATATTCCTGGATGGACAGTGGGATGTGCAGACGTTCTTTTTGGATTATACGATGGTTGGGTTTTTTGTGGTCGCGTTTGGGTTTTGGAAGGTCGTGAAGAGGACGAGGTATGTCTGGCCTGGGACGGCGGATCTGGGGCTGGGTGGGTTGAAGAAGGAGATTGATGAGTATGAGGCTGGGGTGGTGGTTCCTGTGAGGAGGGGGGTTGCTAGGGTTTGGTATGGGTTGTTTGAGTAGGATGATTTGGTTTGAGAGGTAGGTGGGATAGGGATGCTTCGTTGAACGGGAATGAGGGTGCTGGGAATAAGGCTTGAATACAGGTCGGTCTTGTTGATTGCTATAGATTATATACGATAGGTTCTTCCCAGTAGCTAGTCGGTGTATGGTAGATCGAACGATGGCCCCGTGTTCTGCCGGGTGGTGTGCACTCTCTCAAGCCGCGACATTTCCTCCCTGATGCGCTCTCCAATTCCTTCTGGCTGCGTCTCTGATGGTTCCCCTTCTTCTGCCTCTGCCACCCCGGCAGGTCCCTCCTCTCCATTAGTACCGGGGGTTTCCTTCTCTGCCTCTCCTTCCGCATCAACAGCCAAACGCTCCTGCGATTCCTTCTTCGCCTCCTCCGCCAACACCGCATAATGCGCCCGCCGATACACCCCAAGGCTACTGAGCATCATCCCGACAATCTCATACGCAAATAGAACCGGCAACGCATAGTCCAGCTGGGGATTACACCCACCGGACCAGATATCCACCATCACTTGGAAGATAGCGTGCGCGGGAAGCGCATATCCCCATTTGTAGAATCCGGGGGACAGCTCAAACGGCAACAGGATTGACGAGACATTCAATATAACCCATGAGATAAGGGCCATGGGAACGAATGGCGGTGCTAGCCAAATAGTAAATACATCCAAAACGAGAAAGTTCAGATGCGCGAATAACCATAGCGCCATCCAGGTTATCATGAACTGGGCGCCGTTGACGTGCCAGCCATATCGGAAGGCCCAGATGGCGCCGGTTGTGCAGAGCGAGCCGATGAAGGTGTATGTGGCCGAGATAAGCTGGCGAATGATGGCGATACGGTGCGCGTCAACTGAAGTGTACAGGTGGAATTGCTGATAGAGACCATTGAGATAGCCAAGGTAGAAGAACTCTTGAATGAGGATGAGGATGACGACTAGAGTGTTGTAGATGAGGCGGGAACCTTGGGTGGTGGGTTGGATGTTGATGGTGGAGAGCGTCCAGGGGTCAGCGAGGGTGGCGATGGCTGTCTGGTCAGAGGTGTTCATAGTTTGAAGGATGGCAGGGCCGTTGGTAGTAGTGTAGATGATGCGAGCAGCTTCAGATAACGACAGGATGGTGGACTCGATAGCAGAATCTACGACGGTGGAGTAGCGCGCCTCATTCCAGACTAGGGTCATGACATCACTTGTATTGTAGGTTGCTGTCCCGATGCCGATGAGAGCAGCTGATAGGCGCGAGGAAGCATTCTCGACGATGTACAGACCTCCCCAGTAGTGAATATTGCAGACGGTGGAGACGATCGACGCAGGATTGGGATAAGCCTGGACTGACTGTTCGCGGAGGGTCGGGAAGCCGGACCCTTGCAGCTGTTGGTAGGCAGTTCGCACGGCCTGACCGATGGCCCCGGCATCGTAGTCAACGAAGACGATATTGAGATTATGTATATGAGTGGTCTGTTGAAAGATGGACCCGAACAAATAGCAGAACAGACCAAGGAAGAGGAGTTGTAAGATGAGCAGGTTGATGGTGGCAGCCTTGAGGACGGCTAGACGCAGCGGGCGCACCTCCGGGTCGTGGATGCTGCGGTGAGGGCGTTGGCGGGCAGCGGCATACAAGGCCATGGGTGTATCCTAAGGACACCAATTTTCTTCTGCTGAGATATGACCTCCAGAGGTCGTGAAGGTACGGCAATCTCCCGGTGGTAGTGAGTTGAGGGCTGGGCCTGAATCGCGGGGAAGTCAAGTCGGAGGGAGATTCCATGGTTCTGAGCGATGGATACGAGATCCGGTCACTGAACCTTGTTTGTTCCTTCTTTGGAAGGGTTAGTCATCGAATTAGATGGATAACCTACGGGACCTTGATACTTACCAAAATTAGTCACTGTCTGCGCTCTATAGCAGTGCATATATGTAAAAGTGCTGTCTTAAAAGTGCTTCTCATAGATACTATATACAACTTCCGAGGCCCACTACCAAATTGAGCGGAAGTACCCCAGGGCTTCCGGTTGAGAACCAATGCCATGTCGGTAGCACAGAATATGCATATCAGCTCGAATCTCCAGTTTAGTACTACTGAACAAAGCAATATTGTAGGATAATCAGTAGTAGACAGCCGAATTGAAAGGCAGAACCACGCAATTTCCCAATATGACTGCCATTCGGCAGTGACAATATCCCCAGCGCTTGGACCTTCGCGTCGCTTCCATAAGATCCCAGGCGCTGACTAGTAGGAATGACCTACCAAGAGGAACAAGGACACCTAATTAATAACGGGCAAATCCCGAAAAGCTCTTCGTTCGCTTGTATCTCAATCGAATCACTGGAAGCTGTATTACGTGGTAGGAGTAGTATCGTGTGCCAATGACACAATCTATAAATATTATTACAGCTCCCACTGGCGCGTCAACATCATGGCACCAGGTGGCAATAGTTCTCATCAGCCATCATCAAAAATTGCCCGTCGGTAACAAACATTTCCGCCCACGAACAGCTGCATAGTCATGTCACAAGGAGTTCATCTTTTACAGAGTGCTTGTGCTCTATGCGGGGACTGGCCAACAGGTGGTGAACGGATAATAAGTGAGCTTTTGGCCCCTCAAACCTCGCGCAGTATCATCTAACCCAATCGCAGACCTTGACGGGGACCAAGTATCTTTCCAGACTGTAAGTGAGTGCGGGATTGAATGCATAGAGTGTGGTGGCAATCCAATCCCAAGACTTTGGATTCACACCCGGTGTTATCAGCTTCTGTTGGCCAGCTTCGACCCATCTGACAGACCCTCGATGAAGGATATAAAGGACTACGCTGTTGACACGGAATTACTTTGTGGCAAGAGTTATCCACGTAGACATCCCGGAACAATTCTGGAGGGTCTCTCGTCTAAACATACCTCATGCATTATCGCAGAGTCCTTCAAGCAAAGCTTTTTTGATAAATTGCCCCCGGAGATGCGACACAGGATCGCGGGGTTCGTTGGACCATGCTGGTACTTGGCTGTCCTAGGTGAGGCCCGCCGGCTCATTGAATATATTCGACAGAGCGAAGAAATTTTGAGTGAAGAGCTCCACCTCGACAAAGACTTGTGGATATCGCGGATTGTTTGCCAAGATCATTGGTACCTGTCACATATCAGCAATTCACCAATTGAGGCAACTGAAGGAATGGAAGTTTTCCATGTACAGCTACCCCAGACCATTCACAAAATTATCGCTTCAACGGACCACATTGGTGTGCGTTGGATCCAGTTTCTCGACCGTGAAGCTACTCCGACACAAGATCAGTCACCATGGTACGAGATATACGACGTGGAAAATTTAAAACCAAAGCTGGGGGATGTCCGTACTGTAAGCAACTCTATCCTCAGTATCCGGGCATTAGCTGACCTACTTAGCGTCTCATAACAAAGGAGATTAAAATCTACGATGACGAAGAAACACGTCTCTGGCCGTTGACGTGGACCTCCCCAATTACGCCCATTTTCCACCCATTAGCAGGTATCATACATCACGACTTACAGATGGCTAAACTCCACCATATGAAATTTGGAAGCCAAGTAAAAGGCATTCTTGTCGTCTGCGATGGCCCTGTTGACATAGTCGGGATCCACAACTTCTCGGGCCGCAACAAAGCATTCTGGGAGTTTCTCGAACAGGTGCATGCCCGTAGAGAGCCATGGATGAACCCATCTTTATACTGGTTCTATTTTCCGTTGAATGACCAAGAGAACATCCAAGGGGTTTGGGCTCGGAAGTGGGAAGACCCCGCCAGTCGAACAAACATTGATGGTTTGATTGTAAGTGCTCCCATCCCATGGCTGATCTCAGGGACTGACCGGCTAGGTACATACATCCTTCGGGAGAGACATGACATTCGGAGCAGTATTTCCACGCACGTTTACTAGAGAGAGTAAATACATCCCTATGGTTCGGCACACTGATGGTCCAGTATCCGGAATAATTCACGATGGCATGGATTTAAGCCCCCACAGCATTGCGGTGTATGGGGTTACCCGCCATAACTCACATAATGGCGAGACTCCAGCCTCGTGCCTAATACGTTACCCCATTGGGCCTCCAGGGGCCCATCCCGGCGTCGGCCTCGTACCATGGTATATGACCAAGGCCACATTAAGGGGCGTGACTAAGGTACAAGTGTGCAGGGACCGGACGCAGTCGCATCATCCCTGTCTGGGTATTTTGATGTTCTATGCCGATGGTCACGTCGAGGCCAATGGACAGATTCGCTGGGATTATGGACTGGACGAAGAGATATGCAGTCCTTTCGTAGTCGCCTCAGGGGCGGTTAATGAAAAGGACACTATCAAGGACATCCGAAATGCAGAGGACCCAGTAGTGGCCACTGTGCATCGAGGTGAATGGAGACTTCTGCCTAGTCATGGGATACTCGGATGGTGGTTTAGCGAGTTGGGCGATAGACTTGTGGTTTACTATTAGTGGGTACTACATGGCTTTATAAAGCTTCCAGAAATCCAACCCAAGTTCACGTATACTCCAGCGCTATTGAATTAACATAACGCTTCGATTGAAGCGACGGCGCCTGTAGACCTGGCGAGAATAATGCGGACGATGACCATGCCATGTGAAATTGTGGCTTTATAGACTACGCTTCTTTTCAGTGACTTGATGCATCCGAAAGCATCGAATAAGACAGATGTCAGTAGCAACATAGATAACTCGATTTCGTCTTTAGCGTAATATATTTGAATGTCATCATGAGATCGAGGCTTCTACCATATCAGGTAATAATCAGATTAGGTCACAGAAATCTTGACATACGTTGCGCAGACACATGATTAGACACTTTTTGCTGCGTCATAGCGCCTGCGGAGCTCTATCTACGGAGCCTATGTGAGAGAAGATTGTCGGCATATAGAAAGAATAAAATGACCAGAATGGGATGGACAAAACTGCATGGCAACCGCAGATAATCATTTAAGAACCCTGACGGTGGGTATAGGAGACGCCTTCTGCTAAAAAAAATCATCAATCATGGGTTCCGCATTCATTCTTCATCAACTGGACAACTCCATTGATCCGGGAAGCCTCAGGCGAGTGAATATCAACGTAATCTCGAGAATCAGAACCATCCACTGAACCAAACAGCGGCACAAGGAACTCATCTTCCCTTGAGTACGACCATACTCTAAACTTAGTACCAAATGCCGTGAACACGTACACCTTTGACAATTTAGGGTGCTCAAGAAGATAGGCCATACAGACTGCGAATGCATGTCTCTTAAGCCCATCAAGATCCTGAAGACTGGGATCCATCGCCACTGGCTCATAAACACAAAAGGCCATCGTATCGACATCGACACAGTCATCGCGCATATCATAATGCTCTATGGTAATATCCAGGCGTTGACGGGGACAATTCTCTGACGTGGGTTTATAAAAGACAACCCAATCTTTTCCAGAGAAGAGATGTTTCATAAACAGATGACTCCACAACCTGACCACAGCCCCTTCATCGCCAGGTGCCTGGGCGTCCTCCCAAAGCCTCGTGAGAGAGATATCGCCGGTAACGAGCGACATTCTCTATCGATGGTTAGCTGGACGTAGCCTGGTTTGGGATGGGTACACCAACTTGCAGAAGGGATATTGTGTATTTGAAGCGCCAAAATTCGGCGTATTTGTGAGGTGCGTGTGGTAGCAATGGATAATTCTAGAGACGAAAATTGAATCGTGCCATGTGGGCGCTGCCGATGTATATTGTTGGATTTATACAGTTGGCAAGGTAGTTTGAAGGCATCTATCACTGCAGCTGTGTCTTGTAGCCTAGTACTGGCCGGACGAGGCTGTAGCCTAGAAATAGTGATATTTTTTGATGGTGGGTGGAGTTGAGATTCTATTCGCTCTTCAGACATTGCTTGCAGATGGCGCCAAGTAGGCGCTTGTTTATGTTTTCACCATTCGCCTAGGTGTTGCGAAGTCCCCATCTTAAAGACTGACATACGGAGTGGATGGGCACTGTCCATGAATTTACTCATACGCCTAGTCCCAGCTCTCTGTCTCTATGTCTTAAATTCTTCCATACGATCAGTTGCGGTATCCCCATGCAGGAAGAGGCCTGAATCCTCGGCCAGTCCCGCCAACCCTTTCACCGACGGAAGCACCCTGTTCGTTTATGGCTGGACATGGAATAGGCGCAGTCCCAGTGTATATTCGTCTAAAACAATTCCTCTGTGAAAACATGTCCATTCTGCTGGAGATGAGTTGTTTTTTCTCTCATCTCCCCTCCGCCCTCCCCATCATCAATCTCCCCAGGTATCGCTACAACTAAAAGTTCGAGATGCCTTCCTCAAACACCTGCATGACCTGCGGCTCGGAGCCACATTCTCAAACTGATGACAGCTACAAAAGCCAAGTCAAATTGTTCTACCGGTCGACTGACAGAGGTGTCTGGTCGATTGGATCCAAACTGGTCCTCAAAGATCGAGGAAACCATAACCAGAGCGACGAGGCATCCAACATCCGACTTGTTGAGAAGAAGACATCTATTCCAGTACCCAAAATCCTCAAGGATTGGAAAGAAGGCGATCATAGCCTGATGTTGATGGAACGTGTTCCTGGCAAGCCACTCAGCATTGCCTGGCGGAAACTTTCTGCGGAGCAGAGAGAAAACATCGCAAAACAAACAGCGGATTATCTGCTCCAACTTCGCGAACTCCAGTCCGATTGTGGGTAATCCCTTGATGGTGGACCAATATTACCTACCGCTAGCTTTGAAGATCTTCAGAAGTTTTGTCCCTGCGGCTCATTCGCTTCAGATGAAGAGCTTTGGAAAGAGATGGAGGGTGCATTGCATGAATCTGTTCCCGAGGCCGTGCGGAGACTACTCCGACGTCGGATGCCGCCGGCTACGCCGTATACCTTTACACATGGGGACCTTAGCTATGGCAATATCATGGTAAAGGATGGCTCTGTTACTGGAATCATTGATTGGGAGACGGCCGCGTACATGCCTGTATGGTGTGAGTCTTTTTGTGTCTCATTCTCGGGTTGCGAGGAAGATGAAGAGTGGAGGATGTTGTTGCGCAACTACATGCTTGATTATGATGCTGCATACAACTTCTGGCACCAGTATCACTATCTCTGTCTCGATCCAAACATATGGGGAAGGCATTTCATCGACGAAGCCGAGCGTGAGGCTCGTTATGAATGGAATAGATCTTATTCATGGGATGATGGATAGGGTATCTTTAGAGGGAAGATGCGGCCCTCATATTTTAAGGCTAAGATGCCATAAAGCAGAAAATTCAATTTTGGTAAATAATCACGTCGAATAACAGCTGCAACTAGTTAGTAGCCAACATATATAGGGCGAGTTCATATGCTACCTGACCAGCGCGTAGAACGTATCAGACACACACTAAGCCTATTGTGGTCTAGTATCTATGCAGGGATGATGCCTTGGCTCATCTCACACATCCATTATTAGCCTTGATACCACAACAATCACGGAGAATACAATGTTCTCCATATTGAGAGGGATGAAAAGGATACGACAGTCTCAGCCAACAGCCCCGCTATCCATCCTTTGTCATGGTAATTGCCCGTCAAACAACAAAGCGGCCATATCTATGTTACTGATAACCAAGTAGGAAAGCCAATCAGCCGTGATGAACTTTTCGCATATACAAACGGCCAATTCCTGGTCGATGAAGAGGAACAGCTGGCTCGACGCTACATAAAGTTCGACCTCGATGCTCTCTGCAGCGTAGCTGCGGCCGTGGGTGACGTTCCATCTCCCGTGGCAAGGGTGAGCAAATTGGAAGGTGGATTTAGCAAGGCCCTTCTGATGAGAAAGGAGAATGGGTCAGAAGTCGTTGCTAAGATCCCTTGTCGAATTGCTGGACCTGCAGGGCTGACAACTGCATCCGAGGTGGGTGTCCTTGAATACTGTATGTCGTCCTTCGCTCTCTCTTTTTCACTGGCGCATGTGAGAACTGATGGGACCGGTAGTACGCAGAAACACCACAATCCCGGTTCCTCGGGTACTCTCGTGGTCCTCAGACCGGAGCAATTCCGTAGGCGCCGAGTATATCGTGATGGAAAAGGCTACTGGTGTCCCCTTGTTTCGTGTATGGGGTGACATGACAGAATTTGAGAAGTTGCAACTTACCCAGAACTTGACCAAGCTCGAGGCACAGTTATCAGTCATCAGGTTTCCTGCCTACGGTGGTTTATATTTGCGCGACCATCCACAGAGCTCAAAACCTCAATGTCTACTTCTAGATGACGATGTTGATCGATCGCAATCATTTTGTATTGGCCCTTCTCCTGACCGTCAATTCGACGTCTATTCGGACCAATCTAAAGATCAAGGCCCTTGTTCGTCTCTACACCTTCAACGTTACTCAAACTTACCATTCATAGGGACCACATTACCGGAACTGGGTATATCCATTGCAAAGCGCGAGCTATCCCGCATCTCAACGATCCCAAACAAATCAGCCATGTTCTATCAAGGCACCCTGGAAGAGCAAGCCCACTTGCTCAACCTCACAATAGGCCTCATGACCATGCTGGACTCTCATTCCGCATTGGTGCAAGTCGGGCAACCCACCTTGTGGCACACCGATTTACACATGGGTAACATCTACGTGGCGCCCGACGATCGCACAGAGATAGTTTCAGTCATCGATGTCCAGTCCATATCGGTTATGCCTTTATTCCTCCAGTCCCGATGGCCCGAGTTCTTGAAGCCCCCAGACAACTACACCCAAGGCTTCACGAGTCCTGAGCTTCCTGATGGGTACGACAATATGAACGATGAGAGCAAGATGCTGGCTCGACGCGAATGGTCGCAGGCCAAACTAGCAAAAGCATACGAAGTCTCGACATACCTCGAGAACCGACCCGCACATATTGCAAGAAACGTGCCGCGAGTGTTCCGAGAATTGTTCACCCGCTGTGGGGAAGTGTCTGAGGTAGGAGTCATTCCCCTCCGAGCATGTCTGATAAAAATATTCCAGAACTGGTCCAACCTAGGCTTTACCGGATCTTGTCCATATTCCTTCTCGGAAGAAGAAATTAAGACGCATGAGCGGCAATTTGCTGAATACCAGGCGTGGCATGAAGTTCAGTATCTTGCACAGGAGTGTCTGGATACAGACGCAGAAGGATGGATATCACCCGAGCTAGACATCGAGGAGAAGCGACGCCAGAACCGGGAGTTACTGGCGATGTTTATCGAGCGTATGGCGGGAGAGAAGTCACCGGAGCAGGCGAGGCGGATGTGGCCGTTTCCAGATGACGCTTGGATACCAGTTTCCATCCATTATTCAGATAAATAAAGGATGATAACACACTTCCACACCTTAGTATATGCGTTTCGCGTCTCGCCCAAAACAACAATAATAACAACCCATCACAGCAAGCAAGGAACACTACCTTCCCAATATAGTTAGCGTATGCACCCTTACTTATCCAATGACATAATCCACCACTCATCTCAGACTAACCCAATCCAGCAATTCTATTATGCAATTTGAACCAGTAGTGATCCTTCTTTCAAGTCTTAACTTGAAATTCCCCGTCCGTCCCCATCCCATCCCCCCCAAACTGAATCGCCTGTCCCCACAATCCAACGTCACTGTCCTCCACGACGGGTCCTGACATGGCACAACTTGGCATATTATTATTCTCCTGGTATCAATATCCAGATGGGAAGTAAGAAAGAGTCCACGTGTGTGACGTTGACGTATTATTCTTCTTCCGGTGGTTGCCGGCCGGCAAGCATGAGTGGCCTAATCTCCGACCGGGGCTATGTTTGCTATGTACATTGTTGTAGTTTTTAGGGATGAAATAGTGTTGTATTGCTCATGTAATGATGCTGCGAGATTCCTAAGGTAATGTTGTGGATGTTTGCAAACAGGGTGCTTGGTGGTGGATGCATATATATGTTGTGGAGCGCGCAGTAGTACTATGAAGGATCAACTAAGTATTGAACGTCGACGTCAAGGCCCAGTGGCCTTAGAATCAGGTTTACAACTATGGAAAGCGTGGGTAGAATATAGAGGAAAATAATATTGTTGTAAAAATCTAATTGAATCATAACGTCATACGGATGCATTTATACACAGACAGGCACTCTTCAATAGGACCAGACTAGTGCGGACTATCCTCATCCGAGTCAAAGTGCTCGCGCGCCCAAGGACTGCGCAACCGAATAGCACGACCCTTGTAGAAGAATATGAATGGAATCGGCACAAGCAGAATGGCAATAAAGCCCAGCAGACTGGACGCCCACTCGTAGTCGAGCTTCTCGTACATCTGCGTAGCGAACAGCGGGAAGCCAGCACCTACGAGGTTGCGGACGAGGATGACACCAGCCAGAGCGGATGCAGAGTAAGTCTGGTAGCTGTCGACAACATAGTTAAGGATACTGAGGATGACGATGTAAAGACCCGCACCGAAGAAAGAAGACGCAATGATGGGGACGATCCAGTGCACGGAGCGGTAACTGGTCCAGCCGAACCAGAACAGACTGATCGGGATGAGCAGCGAGCCGACACGGGCCATCCACATGCGCGCTTCCGGGACACTGCGGCCGCTGTTCTCGGCCACGCGGCGCAGGTAGTACCGCTCCTGCAGCGGGGACAGGGCACAGGCAATGATAGGGCCAATGGCCATACCCAGGAAGCAGAGACCTTGCTGACCGACGTTGAAGCCGTGGCCATTAGGTTCGCCGAAGACGAGAGGGAAGGCTTCGTTGAACAAGTAGACCAGCCCGTAGAGGAAGCCGTTGTAGATGGCGGAAAAGGTGGTGATAGGCTCAGTGAAGAGGAAGCGGAAGGGACGGGTGAGGGTAATTGCAAACAGCTGGTGCAGGCCCTTGCGGTCTTCTGCGTGGAGGTCGGTGGTAGTCTCTGCGGAGCGCAATCCCTCGCGTTGCATCTGCTTACGCACGCGGGCGGCCTTGCGCTGCAGGATGATACTGTGGCGGGTTTCCGGAACAGTCAGGACCAGCGCGATCCAGGTGCCACCAGTGATGGCCATCATGATCCAGAAGATCCAGTGCCAGTTCAGGTTCAGGCCGATGTAGCCGCTGACCACCAGAGCCATGGGCGGGCCAAATGTGCTACTGAGACCGTAGAAGGCCATGGGGCCACCACTGTGGTTACGCTCCCACAGATCACTGATGGTACCACCTGTGTTGGTCAAGGGGGCACCGCCGGCGAAACCGGCGATGAAACGGCAGACAATAATGGTGCCAATGTTAGGTGCCAGTGCGAGAGGCATCTGGAAGAGGGACATGATGAACCACGAGACGATGTAGACGGGCTGGCGACCGAAGTACTCGGAAAGAGGGGCCAGCAAGACAGGTCCAATGGCATATCCCAGCACATACATGGACAGGCATAACGTAGTGACTTCAGTAGACACGTGGAAATGTTCCGCGATGCCGGTGGCTCCGGAGGAGAAGGAACCGCAGGACCAAGTGCTAGATTTGGGTTAGTAGGGTCGAGACACAGGCGGTTAGCAGTAGACATACGTGATAACGTTCAAGAAACTGGCAAATAAGGTAATGTACCACTTGCGCCAGTGTCCCCAGCAGCGCGGGTTGTCCCGATCTTGCGGGCCAAAGGTGATACGTAAGGGGAGGGCTTCATCAGGCTGGTTCCTGGCGCGAGCCAGAGCTTCCTCCTCGGTGACGACTAGCGGAAGAGTCTCACGGTGTACATCCGAAATCTCTTGCTTCTGGTCGGCAGTGGCGAACAGGTCGCCGACGTGGGATTCCTCGGTCATGGTCGCGACGCCAGGCACAGGGAGATGTTAGGTTAACAGGATACAGAACAAGAAAGTTAGATCAGATCATCAGGGGAGGAAACACTTTTAATAGGGAAAAGAAATATCTGCGGCGCGAGGGGCAAAAGGGCATCAGCAACCCACCGCGTGACGTTCCCCGAGTGCAGTCTTTTGCCATGGCCCAACTCCACTGGCCGGTGAGGGTTGCAGATGGTCTACCAATGAGATGGGGGGCACATAAGCTTCGACTCCAGATTTCTCCAGTTGCAGCCGTGTTCTCCATCTCTTTCGGGGTATGACCGAGCTGGTTACAGGGTAATCCGGTGTCGGGAGGCAAGCTTTGAGCGTCAGGTTCAAGCCTCGGTCAAGCTTTAGGGCGCCGTGGCATCCGGGCGAGGATTCCAGAAAAGAGGACCGATAAAGGCGGGATCTTGGCCGCCTTACCCAAAAGGCGCTTAGTGTGGCTGCACTCCAGGGGATCGTCTCCTCCTCATTCCTCCATCCTTTCGTCTCCCCGTGGAGTTGCCCTTGTTTCTCTGACTCACCGAATCCGCACGGTCGTGGGCCGCCCGGCCGATACACATTTCCCCAGGCAGGATTGCCGACCCCCCGCCGGCTGTTCCATTTGCCGTGGATGCTGTCCAGCATATTTGTTTCCCTGCCCTTGTTGGGCCGAGATGCTTCCGGTGAGCTGATTCTGGTCTAACAACAAACTAGAATCAGCCACACCGCGTTGGATTTTTTTTCCCCTGCTAGCGAGATAGATTAGCTGCTGCCATTGCACCCAATAACTACTTTTCCGTGGTAAGCACCTTATCTTCCCATCGTGTACCACGAGAAAAGTAGGCAGAACTCAGCTGCCTGAGGAAGAAAAAGCAACTGTTTTCACTGTCAGTGGTAATATTAATAATTCAGAACCATTGTGATTTCCAGCCGCCCTCCACCAGCTTTTAGGCTAAATGCCATCAGCCCCAAACCCCAACCCCAACTTGCGACGCCAGACAGACAAGACACTAAAATCCCCGAGCTGTTTTTTCGGAGGCTTATTCCCCACTTGCCATTGGTAAGCACTAGATACGGCTCCTTCGAGTCGGTTTAGGTCCCACGGAGAACCAAAAAGCTGAGCTCCCCGGTGAATGAGTCGGTCGGTATGTCGCTCCCACCACGGTCGGCTTGCTTACGGGCGTCGCTCTCATGCCGGCTGTCGGCATCCGTTCCCCGTGAGAACTGCCCTTCACCTAATACTATATCAACCAAGTACGGAGAATGGTGTACACACTAGACGGTAGACAATAGACAGTAGACACATGGGTATAGCTGGGTGTCTGGATACGCGTGGACCTTCTGCCGCACCTGGTTTGGCCTGGCCTCTTCGTGGATAACGTGCTGGTGTGACAACCAATCAGTCGACCTTGTCTGCTTCATCGATCATCCAGCCTTGAAGCTGATTTGTTGTGCGGTCGCTGGCGCTGCTCTCTTTTTTTTTTCGGTCACAGCTGGTCTGCCCACATTAGCATCCACTTGGCTAGCAGTTGACCAGGCCTCGTCTGTGCCGCTCATCACTCGCACGGAATCAATTCTCCGCTGTCTACGGAGTACATGCTGGTTTCTGGGCTGCTTAAGCCATGCAGCGCGACAAGAACTTCCTCTCTCCCCAGTCATTATAGACACATGGATCGTTAGCCCATCATAGCATCTGGTAGTCTCCAGACGCCGACTCAACTGGCTTATCCTGGATAGCCCAGACATTGTTGTCTCGCAGAGAAGTCCGAGGTGATCTTTTCTCGGGTTGCCTCCCTCATGGGGATGTCTTTCGGACATCAGCCGGCCCAGGGACTCCACCAGGCTAGTTGTCGCACTTTTGGAAATTTAGGTGCACAAGGAGTTGGAGATGCCCGGTATCCATTCCATATATTGCCGTTGCTATTTGAATTCTTCGCGCGAGGAATGAAGGACCTCTTGCCGATGTTGTCTGTCCTAAGGTGACATAGACGTGATGGGCAGTAACTTGATAGGCCAGAGCGAACGCACGGTCTCTGCCATCATGAATGGTAGCCATGCATTGTCTGTGTCGTGTGCTGTCAGTGCTCGTGTGCGGTCCCCGCGCATTAGTGAACCTTGAGCCGTAGCGATCATCGGTCGGAGAAATTCTCCTTTGACGAGAATTCACTGGTTTGTCTCACTAATGTGTATCATAACCTGCCAAAAGCCCGGTTTGGTGTGACACTGGGGAAAGAATCGTGAGTGCTGCCCCAGCCGGGGTGTTGTCTTTCCTGGACAGTGTACCAACGTTGAACCTACAATCCCCAACCGCCAACCCTGACTGTTACATTTGTACACTGGAAAACGGGAGTTCATGGCAAGATCCTACTGACATCTGCATGGCTCGAAGCTTCATCCGCGATGGTGAAACTGTTGCAACCGGAGGGGCGTCACTCTTTCGATGAGACATAATGCCCGAACAATGGGTTCCATCATGCGACGGAGTTAGTTCACGGATGAACTTAACCCCTGTTATACAGCATCCCTGGCAAAAGTCATACAG